TAATGTCTTTGAAAAATCTGAAAGTCAGGAAAATTGTTATATATCAATAAAATTTCTTGAATTCATAGAATCACAGTTGTTTATTAATTTAAACTATCGACATTTTTTCTGATAATATTTAAATATGCAAGCACTACAATGGAATTTTTTCTTCTTTAAGAAATTTCTTCTTCTCTACTAGAAATTTGTAGAAAATAATATCTACAAAAAAACGTTGCAAAATAAGATACAGGTTTGAATTTTTAGTGCATAAAACATAGAAATATATTTAGATACATCAGATACATTTAAACCTTAATTAAAGAAGTCTAATTATACCTCATGCAGTTAACTTACGGTGAAAAGAAGCATCGGTTTCAATCAAGACAATCAGATCAATGTTTCTCAGCATTTATAGTTTGTCAAAGATGTATCATTTGTTTTATATAGCATGATCAAAATATTGGAGATAATAGAAGTATTTATGTTTAGTTTTACCTATTTCACCATGATGGTGTAGATTCTCTTATCGCATTACAAAACTTTTTGGGAAGGAGTTATTCACCTCGTATTTTCTACCTTAGGTAAGTGCTTAAAAGTTTGGGCTCTCTCTTTAGCCTCTGTATCGTTTCTGTTTTCTGGGGATAGATGATTCGTTTATTTTACAACACACTTTTGTTTCTCTTAACATTGCTCTCTCGAGTATATCAACATTTTTACTGTATTCTGAATAAACTTCCTTGAAGGTGTCCTCAAAATCTTGGATTGAGTGTGTTTCTTGAGATCTACATTTTATTTTCATTTTATCACCATTCATAATAGTGGAGAAAATTACATGAACTCTATCTTCATTATACCATGATCAGAAGGAGTCACAGTGCTAACTCTTGTCTTAGCTTCGCAAAGGTGATAAACCAGACATGACATACCAAATTAATGATGACTTGTTCATGACAATAAAATATACGAGAAAGCAAAAAGTAAGAGAGACTCCCAAATGATTAGATCTTTTTCAAGTCAGACGTATGGACTTAAAAACAACAAAAAACAAACAAAAACGAAACAAAGGTGAGAGACTCTTCAAGGCGTGAAGATGAAGAGGTATTGAAAACTGCTTGTCATCAGAACTTATTCACGATTCCTGCATTAAAACAGTTCAACATTGGAGATTATACCACATTAAGTATATTTAAAATGTGCATAAAAACTCTTAAATGATATCATAAACATTTCTTACTATTTATTTATTATAAAAGAAACGTATTAAGTTACAACTGTAGATGTCCGGAGTATCAATGAACCTTGCCCTCTAAAAGGCCTTTATATACATATGTGAGAGACCAAAGTGATGCAAAAGTGCAATGGCCTCCCCATAGTCCGATGGCCTGCGCAAAACCCCGATGGCTCGCTGTCTTTACGGACGCCAAAGTTCGATGGTCCGATGGCTCGTTTCCAACGAGATGCGATGCGATAAAGTGCGATGGTATGATAAGCCAAGGTCAAATGGTTCGGTGCGGAGGAACAATCAACGTTTATGTCACAATAATCCGACATCAATCCTTGAATACTTTTGGACTGATAATGTGAACCCATCTGAAAGATTTAGGGTTAGTCCTCGCACACTATTCGACTTATTTGGATAGTCAGGCACTCACCCAAGATATTTAGTATTTAGGTTAAAGTTGATACTCAAGATATTTAGTATTTAGGTTAAAGTTGATACACATTCTATCCCAGTGGTTCTTCAGAAGATTTTTCTAGCGATCAATAATTAAGATTTTATATCGCTAATAATCACCTCCCCTTGTTTAAGGGTAACATGTCTATTTTTTATATGAATGAGTGTCCTTGGGCTGACGATACCCCGGCAAAAATGTGCCTAGGGGTTCTTGAGATATGGCCCGTATTCCGAAAAGTTTTGGTCCATAGCGTTAGCTCTTTCAGTCTTCGTTTGGCTCAGAAGTTCCATTAAACATTATTGTTTATATCTTTAATATTTTTTCAAATTTTCGGTTTAATATCATACACGGAAATATTTGATAACAAACTTATTTTATCTGGAAATTATTGAATACATCAATTTTGGGACGTGTTTAATTTACACATCCTTGCATTTTCCTCAGCTTCATTCATTCAGCATTCAGCTTCATCCCAGCTTTTGCTGAGTTTTCTTCTAGTTTTGCTGTCTTGAACTAAATATGGTTTATTGCTAATGAGAGTAGGACAACGTCGTGCAAAGTCAAGGTTTTCACGCTTAGAAGTCCCAACTAATTCCTGTACTCTTTCCTCTCACGGTCTGTTGCATCATCCACTCTATCACTAGGAGAAACAAATAACTTGACATGCAGGATCCATGTTTGAGAAACAAATATTCTGACATGCAGCATCCATGTTTGACACCAGTCATTACAGAAAAAGGGTCTGTAGTCTCGTTGGAATCAATCACAGAACACTAAAAATCGTCATATAGGACTCGAACCATCTTAATCAGTTTTTGGGGTATTCCATATTTCTTTATGAAAAAATGAAAATCCAAAGGCTGTCTCTGTGAACCGAATCGAAAGCTTTCTCAAAGTCCACAAAATAGATAAACATGGTATCTTTCCACTCTTTTTGTCTTGATGTCTTTTCTTTCATTTATCATGCAACTTCCAAGTGGTTTCGTTAATCCAAGGCTTGTTTTGTCTTTCCTACAGCCAAGTACTTCCTCTGCTAAATTCACAGATGTCATCTCCTATTGTTCCCACATCTTCTCAATATTTTCAGTCCTCCATGCGCTCTCTTAATTTATTTCGCATGCAGTCATTGAACTTTGTTTTTACTTTTCTATTTTTGAGGTGTTCTACATTCAGTCTTGGTTTCACTTGTTCTTATGTGTGCTGAGGCGTAGTCTGATTGGGGTCTTCACCAGGTAGAGGTCGCTGTTGGCATCAGCTCCCCTCTAGACCTTAGTGTCAAGAACAGATGACCTCCACTGACCACTAGTACTAATGAGAAGGTACCTAGTCAATCTGGTTTTTCGCTGTTCCATTAGCAGACATGCATCCGTGTTTTTGTGTGTGTCTATGTATGTCTTTATAGGGGAGTAATGTTCCTGTGATTACAAGTCCGTTGGTCTGACAAAATGCACAGTCTTTCTCCGTTCTCGATTTGTGTTCCCAGTCCTCGTATACCCATAGTTCTTTCGAATCCATTATTGTCACTTCCTAGTTTGGCGTTGAGGTATCCCATGATAATGAATAATGATGATGTCGTTCTTGTTACATCCATCTGTTTGACGGTTTGATTCCAGGAGAAATGAATAGTTTTAAAGACTGCAATAATTTTATAGTTTTAGTCCCACTGTTTAGGCCTCAGGAGGACAGGGCCAGTAATTTCCTAATTTTAACAACCTTTCACTTATTGATATTAGTACTCTATGCAAAAATTGGTTGAAATTGAATCTATGGTTTTTAAAGAAGTTTAAAAGTTTAGATGTTAACACAAGATGGACGAAAACAGACAGCAATGATTAACCCTCCCCCCACAATGAACCTCTGACTCTCACTTGCTTATCATAACCAAACACTTTATCTGTCCAATACATGCACCCTCTGATCTAAAAAATAAAACGTTGCTTTGTAATCCTAAGAAACAGGTCTATCATTTAATAGTTGCATATTTTAGATCAGAGGTTGCGCTCTTTATTAAATATCGAAAAATAGCTTTAAATTCTATGGCCGCTTTTGTAGACTTTTTCAAAATATGAGGGAAATGACGCATTTCATGACGTCATAATACGTTGACTAGTCAGAATACTACTTCATTTTTGATAGATACGCAATCACCAAAGGTCTCAATAATATCTAATGCATTGTTAATTAAAATTAAGCAGTTTCATTTTTTTTTTGGGAGTTTCACAGGGTCAAAAGAGGCCAGAAGTGAACCTTGTTCTTTGCAGTCCTCTGCTGGTTAGAGCATCTAAATACAAGTAAAAATTTCTCACAGGGACATTAAACAAAAAAATTACAGTACACTTAGATTTTTATGCCCCCGTTATTGATATTCAGGGGTATATTGTTTTTGTCCTCTCCATCCCTCTTTCTGTTTGTCCACAAAAACTTAAACATTTCCCGTAACTTTTGATTGGTTGGAGCAATGACCTTCACGTTGCACATAGATAATTCTTGTGACAAGACTTTTCTTTGGATACCAACAAATGTGACCTCTTGACCTTGGAGTTTTACCCATTATGCAAAAATTTACCAAACTTTAACCTTGGCCATAACTTTCGAGCAGTCGGGCCAGGGCTTTCACACTTCACCTTGTAATTACACAGACAGGGCCTTTCCATGAATAAAAAATTAGAAATATTTCCTGTTGACATTGAACACTTTTGAAATACTTTAACCTTTGACATAACTTTTGAACAGTAAGTAGTAGGGCCTTCATATTTCAAAAATTGATTTCTAGTGACAATGCCTTCCTTTGTATGCAAACAATTTTGACCTTAGTCTAAGAGTCTGACTTCTGAAAAATTTCAACCTTGGCCATAACTTTTGAATAGTTGGTGCTTTGGGTTCAATATTTCACATATAAGTTTCTACATGGCCTTCCTCTGTATCCTTTCTATTTGACCCTTTAACCTTGACCTATGAGCTTAATCCACTTTCAAAAACTTTTAACATTTGACATAACTTTTGAATGGTTAGTACTTGGATTTTCATATTTCACTGGTACATTAATTATTCATTCATTTACAGTCTTTTGGGGGTAACAAAATGCTTTATCTCTTGGAGTTTGACTTGCATTTAAGAAATTAACTCCAACCTTTGCCAAAAGCTGCCATACAAATGGCACCAGTGTTTCACAAACACATCTTGTTTGTTAAGTACCCAAAAGCAAAAAAAGTTATATTTCCACCCCTATTGATGAAAGGGTGCTTCTTCCAAAATTGTGAAAATTATGCTTCCAGGATCAAGGGGGGTTCAGCATAGGGGGGGGGCTTCTATTGAATTCTTGCATAAAAGAGGAAAAACACATTTTTGTATAAAAATATTTTATTCCTGAAACAAAACAATGTATAAAGTTGAAAACATTTGTAAAATAGAAATCAACAAATGAACATAAAAATTTTCCAAGACTGCTTTAATGTCGGTTGTGATGGAATGGTGTAAAGCTTCACTCCTATATATTACTGAATTGTACATCCAATAGCATTTATCTGTTTAGAAAACACAATGTTCTTGCACTTATGGAGAATTTCAATCTTGGTTCGAATTAATGACAAAAACCTGTATCTCCTTTACCCTAATCATAATACTTTAAACCAACTCTTATTTGCGTGCAAGAAATATCAGCGAGTTTCACAACCTACTTTAACTCACAAATATTAAATGCAACAAACCAATTAATAGTTAACCTACAGTTAGGATAGAAATGGAACTTTTAATGAATTGCAGGTTATTCTTCCACCTGGTAAAAACAAATTATGCAATTACAGACAAGACATGTTGCCCTGCTCGTGTGTAGTTTTCATATTTGGACTCATTCCTCCTGAAAGACAATTGGGGATTCTGAAAGACAAATGGGGATAAATGAAATAATGTCCACATCCATTTCTGGATAACCCTCTGCTGATACGACTGCTCTGCAATATAGCAATAAAACATTGTTATTACTCATCATTAAGATAAACTGAAATTATATAAGGCCATTCCAAGTTTTTTTTCTATGTTTAGCGTCCATGCATGATGGATGGATTGGTTTTAGGGTTTTGAAATTAAAAACAAACATAAAATATAATTAACCAATACTAATCTTTGAAACACAATTTACTCTTTTTGGGATCACAATATCCTTTTTTTTAAGGTGGTGTAACAAACATTTTTGTTTCAATAACCCATAGTTGTATCTAGTTACAATGCAAGGAAAATCCTCAAATGATGATAATTCTGGAATTGTGCTAAAAATTTCTCTTTTCCCTTTTGGTTTGTGTGTTTTTTACAGATAGATAGATTTTTGAATTTAGGAAGGACGCTACACAAAGACAAAACTAAGAATGGCTTAAAGTCAACTTTGATATGCTGCAAACTGTCAATTAGTCCAAGAATTTCTTTGATTCTGAAAAAAAGCTATACAATTTGATATGCTACATGGCTAAAAACAGTGCACCGATTAATGTTGAATGACATGTATGAACATCCAGAAGACATCTAAATATAAACTGCTAATGCTTGACAAGAAATGTGCTTTAATCTTTTGAAATACATATTTATAAATACAAAACAATACAAGAAACAGAAATATTTGTTCAATAATTTTCTTGCAAACTGTTATATGTCACCATATTTCATGAAACTCTAAACTGCAACAACAAATTATCTTACAGGTTCATGTATAAAGACAAGCACCTGTGCTGCCATATTACATTTTAGGAGGTATAACATAATCCTAAGTGATAATATGTTCATGAACAATAATTTAAATAAAGTTCTGATGAAAGAAACTTTAAAGTCTACATCTAGCAGAAATAGAACCTTTTTTAAAACCAAAAAAACACCTTAATATTTGAAACCCCTGCTGGAACTGAAACTCAGGCAAACTGCCAGAGTTAGAAAATATAATTAGACATGAAAAACATAAAAACAATTAAATATGTATCTAGGAAGTACTCCTTTTCAAAAACTCAATAGTTTAGTCTTCTTTAAACTTGGTGTCATATTTGAAAAAAATCAAAATCACTGTGAAGAATCTCTATTACATTAATCTATTTACAAAAATGTAAACCATCATTTAAATAAATATTCTTATAAAATTACTAGCACTTAGAGAAACCCTTCTTTTTTTAAACTAGAAACAATGAAATGTCTAAAAAGTAAAATATTTCGGTAGATTAACATTTATTCTGTAAAAGACACAACTTATGTCAAAGATGAAATATGAATGTATCGTCATTCACTTTTGCACAAAGCCTCAAATAAAATTACCTTGGTACAGGAATTTTATTTAATATATATGGGCGGAATATGTTATCTAAAAATCTACTTTTAACAAAATCTCAGTACACATATTCCGTCTTGTTTAAACTGATAATTAATGAGAACACATTAAAGGTAAACATTATTGAATAGTGAACATGATGAATTAAACCTTAAAACTGAAATACTATGGATATAATGTGCAAGAAATATGTCTCTAAAAAATTCACATATTTCACATGCTGCCCCATTAAAAAAAAATTGGCACCTTAAATTCTAGTATGAATATCTTTCATACAATTTGAAATACAATTAAGTAATAATAGTGAGAAATGTACACCATGATGATTATAACTTGATAATTGATGTCTTTATTTACTGTACTGAATTACTTCTTATCTAATGTTAAAACTTTTCATTAACCCTTTACTCTAACATTAAAGCTGACTTGAAACACTTGAAATATTTCTTTTTTTTTAAATTAAGAAAAATAAACAGGCTAGGGCATAATTTTTTAAAAAATTCAAAATCAAAATTTGGAATCAGAAAAAAAAATCTTTAATCAGACAAAGTTTACTTTTTTGAATACTAACATATTGATAAAATAACTTGCTACTGTGTGTCAAGCCAGCTAGAAAAACATATATACAAATTACACAGAAATATACAGATAACATGCAGAAACATTTACAATGTGCGTATCTCGTTTCCATAAGTGTACCTTTGATATTAAACAGTTTTGTCCCTTTTCATGCTGTTCAACTTTCAAGCATAAATTTAAGTCATCAAATATTAACACCTTCAAGCCAACATGAACATTAACAACCAACTTCAGTAGCACTGTTACATTTATTTACACTTTGAGAACAGAAATTCTAATGGAGACAATCTTTAAGTATCATTATTCATATATATATATATATACATGTACACATTAAGCAAACTAACAATTTTAATATAATCAAGCTACATGTATATTCACTCATTCTCCACAAATTCATAGTTTACATACACTCGGTGTATTAATGTCAACACCATGTGCTTTTATGATGTCTTTTCCAAAATTCATGATTTACATTGTCAAACAATAACAGTTAAACTTCAATACCAAGGTATGTTACCCATAAATCTCTTTGTCCTTTTTGATTTCCCTTTCTCTTCTCTCAATCTCTGCATTCCTCCTTTTGATGAGTTTGATTCTAGCATCCAAGTCACCACTTCCACCTGAAAAGAGGTAAAAAAGAACCTATTACTCCTATAAAATATCATTTATACATACTGACCAATCAGTTCAAGGCTGTTAATTTGACCAATGATTTGTAAACACTCTAGTTCACAAATCAACAAGAGGCCCAGGGGCCACAGCGCTCACCTGAGCACATCAGCTTGGAAAAAGCACATATCAGATCAGAACTGAAAGTTTACTGAGGTGGGGTGGGGGTGGGCTTGAATTTTAACCCCCCATGGGATCATAATTTGAACGAACTAGAATCTACACTACCTGAGGATGATTCCATAAAAATATTACTAATCATGGCTTTGAAATACTTGAAAAGAAGATTTTAAAAGGTTGCCCTATATATTCCTATGTAAAACTTTGATTTTGGTCCCACCCTACCCCTGGGGGTCATGATATGAACAAAATTGAATCTACACTACCTGAGGATGATTCCACATGAGTTTCATCTTTCCTGGCCCAGTGGTTCTAGAGAAGATTTTTAAAGATTTTTCCTATATATTCCTATGTAAAACTTTGATCGGCCATTTTGGCCCCACCCTACCCCCGGGGGTCATGATTTGAACAAACTTGAATCTACACTACCTGAGGATGATTCCATATGAGTTTCATCTTTCCTGGCCAAGTGGTTCTTGAGAATTTTAAAAAAATGCCAATTTTTCTCTAATTCATAATTATCTCCCCTTGGAAAAGGACATGGCCCTTCATTTGAACAAACTTGAGTCCCCTTCACCCAAGGATACTTTGTGGCAAGTTTGGTTGAAATTGGCCCAGCGGATCTTGAGAAGAAGAGGAAAATGTGAAAAGTTTACGACAACAACAACGACAAAGACAGACGACGGACCAATTTTGATCAGAAAAGCTCACTTGAGCCTTAGGCTCAGGTGAGCTAATAACTATTTAGTAATCTGCATTAACAATTAATTTTAATGACCAAACTTATTAATAGCATCAGATAGTGTGTTACGTATACGAGTAGGATAGGTTTAAAACAGTACAAATCTAACAGTGGTGGCAAAATTACAATGGTAATGGTCAAATTTAATCTCTGATCTGTAAGTATGATCTTGCTTCTTTATGAGACTTTATCGATAGGGGATTAATTTCATGGGTTGTAATTTTCACGTTTTTCTCTCATCTGACAAGATCACGGTTTCTTGAATTCGCGGAATTGGTACATAATAAAAGTTACCTCCCTTGTCTATATCCGTTTATCCATACCATAGCTACATGTAAACGATATTAATTATCAGTGTTATGACTTTATTTCACGAACAACGGGGTAGGTTTAAATAAAATGATTAGATTTGATATAAAAAAAAATTGAAGATTAATTAAAACAAGTGCAGTTATCAAAAGTCCTTGACTCTAGACATCAAATGTCTTTCCTATATGCTATTACAATGAGCGCGTGTACACCCTAAGATCTTCGATACAACGCAACGAAAAAGCACTGGACGGTAATAAATGTGTTAATGTTGGAAAAGGTCGACGAAATATCCTTCCATATCCTCAGTAAGTTTTATAGTTATTTAACAGATTTTATAAAACCAAAATGTCGATAAAAACTCAAATGCATTCATGATAATGCAGTAACAAATACACGTGGTAACATTAGTTACGCACGGATAATCAAAACCCATGACCCACGTGTTTTGATTGATGAAACATGTAGCGTTGGCTATTAAAACAGCTTGTTTAACAAATACGGGTTATTATCTGCTGATTTGAATTTAAGTAAAGCGTGATAATTAAATTAATTGAATGACGAGTACTACTCGTAATTACCGGCCGAAATGACCATGTACTGCGCGTACAAGTGTGTAGCCCTATCGTTGTCTATTCTCAAATTTCCAAATAAAACCTGGAAATTATTGAAAATTTATTCACTGTTTCTTGAATTCACGGATTTATTAACACCGTGAATATAGCGAATATTAACACCGCGAGTTATTTTCCCCCTATACAGTATTCTTTGCTAGAATTGTAATGCTTTGCACGTCTTTCATAGAGTTCAAATTTACAACCAAAAGAGATAAACTAAGACAACATCAGGCAAAGATCAAACAATAATTGGAATGGATATTCTGTATCTTTATTGCAGTTAGATGGCAATAAAATTTACCTGAAGCATCTTCTTTGGTACTGATAAAGGCTGCTCTTTTGTGTGAAGATGTTTTCCTCTGCAGTTCAGGAGAGGCCTCCCGCACTGCTCTCTTGTGTGTAGATGTCTTCCTCTGTACTTCAGGGGATACTTCACGCACTGTTCTCTTGCTCTTTTTTACCTTTTTAACATCAACTGGAAGACCAAGGCGAGCATGGACTGACCGTCTTGAAGAGCCTTCCTCAGAAAGACTAGCTTTGTCTTTCACTGCCAAAATGAAATAATTAAGCATATTTTAACTTGCAGTATACACTTTGTCAGCACAGACAAAACAAGAAATCAATGCTTAAATAAAACTGAAATTTGTCACAATCTTGTTCTTATGATGATGTATAAATTAAGTAAAAATTTATAGATCAAATGAATGCTTATGGTAATTGAGATGTCCATGAGTTTTCAATTAGTCAATCATTTCTCAATTGATTGACTAATTGAAAACTCATGGACATCCCAATATATAAAAGCCTTTTTTAAGACAAAGAAAAATTAATGTTTACCTGTGTCATACTGGAATATCACCACTGGACTTGCTTTGCCTTCAGTCTTGGATGATGGTTTCATGCCTTCCTCATTTTCATCTTCCTCCATGTCATCCTCTTTATTTCCTCTGTTGACAGATCGAATTAAATGCCTAGCGTCAGTCTTAGACAGACTGATTTTAGCAACATCACCAGTCTCCTCACTGTCACGAGTTACAATTGTTCTTGAAGACATTTGGCCTTTAGAAACATCAGCTTTTCTGCTGGGTAACACAACACTTGTTTTAAGTCTCAATTTAGATGCTGTGTCATCTCCCTCATCATCACTTCCTTCTATAAATTTTTTTCGCCTGTGCTCCTTCACTTTAGAATCTGTGTTCACCATTGCACTTTCTTGGGATCTTTCCCTTCCCCGTGTTTTTTCAACATCATCTCTTTCTTCTCTTGCTTTTTGCCGCTTCATTTTCTCCTTTCTTCTCTCTTCCTCTTTTTTCCTCTCCTCTTCCTCTTTTTTCTTTCTTTCCTCTTCCTCTTTTTTCCTTCTTTCCTCTCTCTGTGCTCTGTATTCTTCCCTTTCTTTCTCCCGAGCTGCCAGCAATCTTTTCCGCCGCTCAAGCTCTATATCATCCCGATTCCGCTCAGAATTAGCCGATTTTTTGCTCCTCCATGTCTCCTCATCTGATTCACTTTCAGAGTCATCTGTCATTGGATGTCCTCCAACACTTTCATCTGAATCCTCATCGTCACTTGTCTTATTAGACTTCACCGATTCCCTACTTTTGCGTTTATCCACTGTAATTTTGGCACTTCTACTAAGCTCACTTCTGGTCTTTTTGGCACTTTTCTCATGTTTATGGTCCCTGGAGCTTTTTTCCTCCTTTGAATCAGATGATTTTGTCTTTCTAGATCCATTTTCTTCCCCCTTTTCTCTCTTATTTTTGTCTTTTTTCTTAGGTAAGATACCTTTCAAAGATATCGTTTTCTTTTCAGCACCAACCTCTGATGACCTTCCGAATTTTCTTTTCCTGGCCTCAAACAATTCCATGTCCTTTGGGTCTGAAATTTCAGTAGCACTTTTACTTACATATGCCCTTTCACTTGTGCTCCTCCCAACAACTTCCCTGTCACTCACATTTCTCTCACTGACACTTTTGGTAACACTAACTCTTTCACTTACTCGCTTGCCCTGACCAGTAATACTTCTTTCACTAATACTTTTAGAAACACTGATTCTTTCATGAACTGATTTTCTCTGGTCTTTTTCTTTTGCATACTTCCTATCTTCTCCTCTTCTATCATCTCTTTTTGATACATCATACAAATCTTTCACATCCATTTTTCCTCTTTGAGGCTGCCCGGCAATCTCTAACATTTTATCAACAATGCTCGTCTTTGATTTTTCTCTCTGATCACTCTCTTTCCACCTTGGCTCCTGTTTCCACGGAGATGTAGAGTAAGTGTTGGGAGAACGACGTCTGTCCTTTTGGGGAGTTAAGGACCTATTCCTGCTTGAACGTGGAGACCAGTTGTTTCTCCTTGCAGGTGATAGTGACCTGTCTCTTCTTCTTTGAGGTGATAAGGATCGTCTGTACCTGGGAGAAGGAGATCTGCGATAAGAACTTCTCTCACTCACTGGTAATGGTGACCTTGACCTTCTCCTTGGAGATGGGAACCTTCTTAAAGGTGACCTTGACTTAAAAGGTGAATACTGAGATTGTCTTGGTGAAAATGACCTACTTCTAGACCGTCTAAAAGGTTTTCCTTGCCTACTAGGTGAAAATGACCTTGATCGACTTCTGGTCCTTTTTAATGGCCGTCTTTCTCTTCTAGCAGGAGACAAAGATGGACTTCTTGTTCTACTTCTAGATCTCCCTCTCTTTCGTGCCATAGGAGATCTATTCCTCTGTCTAGACAAAGTTGGAGACCTGCTCCCTCGTCTAGGTGTGAGAGATCTGTTCTGTCTACGGTGCCTTGGAGAGTACCTTCTAGGAGAAAAGGATCTGTCCCTGCTTCTTCTGGGTGATGGACTTCTGCTTCGTCTATAAACACCCTTAGGTGTCCTTGACCTTGATCTGCTTGAGTATCTTTGAAATGGAGATAATGGTCTTCTGTAAGGTGAACGTGATCGACTTCTTGAAAATGACTTTTGTCTCTTATATGGAGACGGGGACCTATCATTTGTTCTTCTTCTAGGAGAGTATGACCTACTCCTACTTCTGCCTCTAGGAATTTTTCTTGGGGAAGGTCCTCTAGAGTGACTTCTTGATTTTGATCTTGATCTTGCTGTGTATGGTTTTGGTGACCCTGATCTCTTTCTCAGTGGTGAAGAAGACGGAGAAGTAGATTTAAGAGATAAATTTCTTGAAGTTCCCTGCCTCTCCAGGCTTCTGTCTGCACTTTTGATATCTCCTGACACTGGTGATGATGAAGTCACATTCTTTTGTCTTTGAGAGGGTGATAATGAGGCACTTTTATGAGATCCTCTCGAGTCTTTTCGAGATCTTATCTGGGCAGATCTTGATTCTGAATGTGAACTGTCTTTAGAATGTCTTCCAATTGGTGAACTTGGTCTGGCAGCAGATTGTGAACTACTTTTAGAACACCTACTAGCACGAGAACTTGGTCTTGATTTTGAAGGAGAACTCTCTCGTGAACTAGCCGGGGAGTTTGATCTTGAAGAATTGCTGCTAGTGGACCTCTCAGTTGAGCTTGAGGAATTATCCTCTGTTTGATTCTTGGCAGATTTAGGTGACTCTGAACGCCTTTTCTCTGAAGAGTCAGACCCACGCCTTCTTCTTGTGTGGTCTGGAGAAGGTGACCTTGAATCATTATGTCCGTTTTCAGGGCTATTTTCTGCCTCCTCTACATTCGAGAGACTTTTCTGATTTTCTTTGTCACTGTGATTGTCCTTTTCTTCCTCGTCAGATGAATCCTGGACCTCTGATCCTTCATCTGAGTCGGTGTCTGTGTCATCATATCTTGAAAACTTATCTATATGAGAAAAAAAAGGATTTATTTTATTTTAACCAATAGATGGATAAATACATGCTGGACACAGTATTTCTAGAATACACCCTCTACAACTTTGTTGCCAGGAGTATGTAGAAGAAAAATATAAATGAAACTCAAATATTAAAACAAAGAATTGTAGAAGAAATGTAAAAGTAGAAATATAAATGAAAATCAAATCTTAATAAGATATAAAAATATTCCTGTAACCTTTTGGTCGGCTTGACAGAGAGGATTGACTGTTTTCATCAGAAAGTCCTAAGGATGCCCATTTATCCTGTGGCAGTAACAGCTTTGGCTTGGTTGGTTGACCTGAATCCAGAGGCCCTGTATTTTCAGGTAAGCCTGCCCTGAACTCCTCCTTTTTTGGCTCTTCCTGAGTCAAGACAATCAAACAAGACCTGGGCCCTGACTGAGCATTGCTCCAGCTTCCTCCTCTACCCTTACCACCCCTAAATGGACGTCTATTGCTCCCCCTCCCTCTCACATTGCCCTGGTAGAACTGGTTAGGCTGGGGCAGGGCGGATGGAGGATGATTAAGGGGCTGGTATGTTGAGTAACTTGTACTTTGTTGTGAAGTAACCTGAACATTTGAACAAAAATATATCTTTATACATTTGGCAACTTTGTGAAATAAGCATTTAAACAAAAAATTGTGACATTTGTCTAATATGACACTTACGATTAAAATTAAGAAATATTAAGTTATTTCTTGCTTCCTAGTACAGTGGACCCTCATTTATCCGGACACTTTGGTTCCAAGTTGCGACTAAATTTGTCGGATATGTGACCAAAAAATTGGATATCTGAATCACCAGTTAAACAAGACAAAATAACATTTAAAAATTTCGTTCCGATGAAAAATCATCCGGATACTGAAGCATCCGGATATCTGAGGGTTCACTGTATTTCCCACCATCCTAGGAAATATGAGTATTTACTAGCCTTTTGACAACCCTCTACATACCTGACTAGATGATGGTAGTGACGGGGACTCCTGCTTTATTTGGCTTTCTGAGGAAACATCCTTATTCCTTTTCAAAGAAGCTAAAGCTGCAAGTCTCAGAGCTTCCAAATCATCCTACAAGAAAAAGTACACAATCAGCACATGCAAAAACATTTCTTAGCTCAACTTGAGCCAAAATAAAATTATAGTTTGTTTGGAATTGCCTCCCGCCTCATTGAAATGCCCCCTCCTGAAAAAATTTTATTGACCAAAAGTAGGAAGATATTTTTTTATTAAGGTCTTCCGTTTCCAACGGAAGACCTTCTACTGATTCTGTTGGTAAAGATTATTATTCTTTTTTTTCTTCTACTTCCTAGACGCCAACTTTGAAGCCTCATATCTCACTCATTTCTCAATTGATTTCGCTCAAATTTTCAGAGGTACTAGAAGTTACTAAACTCTAGCAGAATGCTGTCGAAAATTTCAAAAAGTCACTTCCGGTTTTGAGTTATTTCCCTTTAAACGAAAATTTTTAGGCTTTCGTTTCCAGACAAAGGCTCAGAGACGACTAAAGCTGGAACAGAAGTTCTACTGATTTTAGATAATAGAAGGATTGAAGTTGTGCACATCGGTTTTTGTTTTTCGATTTCTCTATTCAAAATGGCGCTATATAGGGGTCAAAAATTAGAAAGCTTAAAAGAGCCAAAAATTACTCATATTTTGCTTTTTATCTTCTAAACTTAAAATATTTTGTTAAAATATATAGAACATAATTTGTGCAGAATTAGAAGATCTTTCAAATGATATCTCAGAAAAAGGGTTGACCCCTAAATTAAGGGATCTAGAGGGGCCAAAAGTTTTTTCCAGATATCTCAAAAAGTATTGAGAATTTGTTATACATCAAAGAAGCAAAGTTGTTGAAAATCTCTGGTAAAATCTACTGATGTCATCAAAATACGTCCTGTGACGTCACTTCGGCCAAACTGGAAGTAGTCCGAAACTGCATATTTCTGCCATTTTTGACATGTTTTGGGGAAATATTTGTCACTGGAAGCATGAAACTTAATTTTCCGTCCGTCAACGTCACTTCCAGTCAAACAGGAAGTAGCAAAAAATGGCTTACTTTTGCAATTTTCAACATAAATTTGGAAGATTTAAATCATTAGAGACGTCATTTCTCTTTTTTTTAAAAATAAAAGTTACTTCCGGTCAAACAGGACGGAAGACGTACTTGTTGCTTTGCAATGAGCTTTGCTCTAGTTTAATCAATTTTTTTGGCCCATTACATGTATTACATGCATCATACAATACACCAGTGATTGGGAAGGGCTTGCGCCACGCGCCATAGTCGCATTGAAGTGAAAAATGGCGCATTAAATCAATCGTCATGGCGCCAAAGTGCGCATTCAATTTTTAGCGATGCTATTTGGAAATATTTTGTGTACTACTTTTTTTCTTGTTTTACTTTCATTTTAAATGCAGTCAATTTAAAACAACAAATCTCATTGGTTGAAACCTGTCAAAAAATACTTCCGGTTAAACGAAGCACTTACATGAGGTACAATACTTCATTCATTTGTATGGTAGGGCTGTTCCCTTTCCAAAACTGTCGTAATTTTAACACAAAATACGGGTCAGTTATATTCTAAGAAAGTTTCTTTAAATTTACTGCATTTCATGCGTTAAAAATCGGATTCGGTTAATTAAAAACGTGTTTTCTCTCATATTTCATATTTGTTAGTCACTTTGTTATTTCTTAAAATGGCCCTTCAGATTATATTGATGGCCCATTCATTTTCGAAATGGCCCATCAAAAATGTTGACAGTTGCGCCATAGTCCCATTGACCATTTTGGCCTTCCCAATCACTGATACACTGAAATATAGTGTCAGATCTATGTAAAATTAGGTTATTTTTGTTGATTGTAGATACTTTTTTTTTTTAAAAATCAGAAAATGTATTTAACTGTTTACTGAGATTTTTATCAAAAATTTAAAATTTATCTTCAATTTAAAAAAAAAACAAACTTCCCTCCCTCCCTCCTGTGTCTGAAACCCTTCAGGCGGCAATTCCAAATAAACAATTTTCTAAAGATGGCCTTGTGTCAGATGTCTCTGATCCTGATACATATATGATACAATTATCCTAATATAATGAGCCTACATAATCGATATGATCTATTTATTGCTGCTATGAGAAAATTCGGACTACTGCACATTCATTCGATAAAATTTTTTCAGCAGTAATTTGGACCCATAATGCATCACTTCGTACACAAAAGCTACAGCAATGTTCTCGCATGAACAAAAACAAAAGTTAAACGAATAATCATGATAATAAACTTGCCTTGATTTCATGAATTTAATATTGCAAAAAAAGTCATGAAAACGGTTCTTCATTAAAACCAGCCCTGTTCAGGCTTCGGTTTGTTAAAGCAACATGCATACGATGTCATGTGTTGTCAGAGTCTTATACGCACCAAATGTTGTGCGGTTTGACGAGCATGATCTAAATGAAAACTGGATAAGTATCTGCGCTCTCCCTAACGGTCGCACTGTCAACATATAATTATCTTGGAATGAATATCCTTATTTTTTTTCTCAGTAGGTTAATATGTATAGAAATCAAGCTATGAAATTATTTAAATTGCTTTCAATATATTGTACTGGATCTGATACTTTTGTAATTTAATTTTTCTAACTTATCTAGAGCATTGCCAATTGATTATACTATAATAAATTCAATCAAATTAAAACGCTTGAACATATTTTAACTCTGCAACTAAACTCCCCAGTGACTACGTTTAAAGCCCGAGAAGAGCTTATGCTAGAGCTAGAATGTTTGAACATACGCATGATAAACAGCAGGTTTATATGTGAAATGGATAAGCAGTTTCAACATCTTTAAAAACTTTATTTCCTCCCTGTATGCAAAATATAAACACTTCATTGTCGACCAAAAAGATTCAACAATGAGTAATGCTTCATACTATGCTTATCGCACTATATAATGTATAAAATATCAAATCAAATGTTTCACCTCATCGTCGGACGCCATCTTGGATAAAAATGAACTCTCGCATGCACGAGATATTAATAAAAATGTTAGAGTTGTGTATTTTTTTTTATATTTTTATTCTTTTATGAGTAAAAATTAGAAAAATAAAGTCTTTGTATATGCTTTTTCTCATTATAATTTTTTTTTATCTATCGTTCTCTAACACGACATTTCATTGGCTAGCAGAAAGAGGAGCCATTTTCAAACTTCGCAGGTGCCCCAAGGAAAACAAGATCTGTTAACGAGTTCATGTTATCCTTAGGTAACATTGCAAATTGTTGCATAGGAGTAAGGTGTGTCGTAAAGACATCCGTTAAGTTAAGAGGAAACCATTTTGATTCATTTCATAAGTAATTATTGTTTTTTAATGACTGACAGTGCTTGATGTTCATTGAAAGTGTAGATTACTAGATTTACTGTAATTTTGCGTGAAAGGAAAATGGGAAACATATAGATAAACAGGGAATGAAACCTGGACCTTTTCATCACTTGTCAGGTGCTCTGCCGCTTGAACTACCTTTGCTGATAATCACATTCCAAACCATTACATTAGCATGATTTTATACATGTAGCATTGAAAAGTGTAAAAATTGGTGTAGTGTATTGACTGTAGCTTGAAAAGGCCTTAAGGGACCAGTAATTCATCTGTTTCTTTAACATTCATATCCCTGCACAAGTTGAGTCCCTAACTTTAGTCTGGTTGGGACCAATATTGCCTAAACACTATAAAACGCAAATGCGAGGCAGCAAGTATGAATGGATTGCCGCAAATAGAATTTAGCACTTGCTTTTTAAAATATATAAGTGTTATAGATGATTCATAGCCAAACTTTAAAGATGCTAATGATAAATACCGGGTAACAACTTACAATAGTTTAATTAAGTCATAAATTGGCACTACTCTCTTGATCCATCCTACAGTTAACGAGTGCGGGTACAGTGACCCTACGACATACATGTAACATGACTTGTACGCAACTGTGTGTTCCGATTTGCATACATTGAACACAAAAGGTTTAATATTTAGAAATCTGTTAGCACACAATAAATTTTAGCTTTCAGGAGCTCTTGTGTCAAAGGCACTAAAATTAGTAGTGCGTCATGTTTTCTGTTTTACAGTACCTGTGGGCTATTTGGGATAATATGTCGATGGTGCAACCATTAGGGCGGGTGCAAATACCTTTTCAGTTTTAATTTAGATCTGTCCCTTCAAACCACACTGACTCAGAACCTTTAATTAATCAGTCCTGAGCGCCGAGTATTGGTGTAAATTTTAAGCCCTTCAGGTGTTTATTGTGACGTCTTTCCTTAAGTGAAAAATTCTAAAATGGGCATAAAACAACAATCAATCAATCGTTCCGCACATATTTGATGATAGTGATATAATTACGTATTGTACTTTTTCAGATTGATTATAACTACCTGACTACTTATATGTCATTGTGGTGCCAGTTCTGATCTACCATGAGTCAGTTCACAGAGCTGCGTGGTTTGTACCACCTTAGGGAAACCATTGGATCAGGTACACACACATGATAACTTGTAGATAACTTTATATTTTAGATTGTTTTGAAATCTTAATGCATGTAAGTATCAGTAAGTATCAAGGTAATTTGTTTCTGGACATCTTGGCAGCAAATTGGTTGAGTAACAGATGTTTAACTTCAATATTTGAAGGAATTCATTATTAAAAGGTGAAGTAATGAGATATGTTTATGTAGCAAAAGCCCGCGACAAACAGTCCATGACTGGAGAAGTGCCCTTCTCTTCACTTGCACCCCTCCATTTTCAGATCCTAGATGAAACACTGTGTTAAACTATTTGAATTATTTAGAAATGTTTAATATATATTTAAAAAAAAAAACCAAAATCTTATTGATGAGTTAAGCTACTACATGTACTGTAATATTTCATATTAACATTTTACAATGTGCTGCTAAAATAAATAAGGGATGTGATTGCAAGTTTCAATTTAAAATGTTCATGTTGAAATGATGCCATGCTTGATTTTTCAGGTGGATTTGCAAAGGTGAAGTTAGCATACCATGCACTCACTGGAGAAAAAGTTGCCATCAAGATCATGGACAAACGATCTCTTGGAGTAAGTGTCTTCTTCAACTTAATAGTCAGTAAACACATGTACATGTTGAATTACCTGTACCTGTTCAAGTCTGTATAAAGCAAAATGTAACTGAATGTGTTAAAAGCATTACGTTTAACAAAATGATAATTATTTTTGTATTCCTAGGAAGATTTACCGAGAGTGAAAACCGAGATAGAAGCCATGAAGGACCTATGTCATCAACACATTTGTAAACTTTACCAAGTGATTGAGACAGAGACCAAGTTTTTCATGATTTTAGAGGTAATTTAAACAAATCAAACTGTTGCCTTGTTTAAAAAACTAAATTCTCAATTTATAAGTCATATTTCTTTGACTTAAATGTTGTCAAGTTTTTGTTTTGATGTTTGATTGAGTAAAATACGGATAAGACTACATTTGTGGAAAAAAAAACTGTTCTCTAATACAAACAAATTATTGTTCAGCCTGACCCTAGCTGTAGAATCAAAACATTTAATCTTTCATTTATTTATGCTTCGCTTTTATTCATTCAGTGTCGCAAATTTTGGATTGTGATATTTCATTTGATATTTTTCAGCATATATTTATATCTAAATAAAAAATTCAATTTTAAAGACAGAAAAGCATCATTACCAAGATAAAGAAGAAATATCTATAATCAAGTGAAGAACGTTTAATGTGCATTTATCAGCTTATTTTGAATAGGCATGTGTATGGATTACATACAAATGCACATTTGTATTGCATGCTTAATGAGACTTTTCTATTTTCTATTTTTGCAGTATTGTCCGGAGGGAGAGCTGTTTGATTACATTGTATCTAAAGACAAGCTGTCAGAGGAAGAGGCCAGGATATTCTTCAGACAAATTGTTTCTGCTGTAGCATACATACACAATCGAGGATATGCCCACCGGGATCTGAAACCAGTAAGTCTGTAGACGGAAAAAACAAGGAGTCTGAATTTTAGTTTAGTATCACCTGCAGCAGATTTATGATTGTTCAGAAGTATTGCTTGTTTTATATACAATGTAATTAAAATCATTATCAAATTTGACAATTGAAGGGCGACATAAGAATCCCCCTTCCTTTCTAACGTTTTATCCTACATATTTTTATGACAATAATTTCAACATTATGTTCTCACCCTAAAATGGTTTTAAAAAAATTGTGAAGTTAGGGAATTTTAATTTCTGTCATTGAAAATATCTACATGACCTTTTTTTTATTCAAAATTTTCACACTTCTAATGCTGCCATTTAATTTTTTTGTAGGAAAATTTGTTATTAGACGAGGATCAGAATTTAAAACTTATCGACTTCGGTTTATGTGCAAAACCTAAGGTAGGCATATACATGTATGTCATTGCTTATTCAGAATGCAAGTTCATATAAAATTTTTATAAAATCATAATTTTAAATATTCCAATGAAATTATATTGTTTTAGAATTAAGTTCAATTTACCCAGTGATCAAATATTAGACTCAAAACAAAAAGTTTTATTTGATAACTAGATGAGATAATATTAGCAGAAAACTAAAAGTACATACACATCTAAATATATGTCCATGTAACTAAAAAGAAAATGTAAAATACTTGTTGGCATCGTTTACAGGGAGGTATGGACAGTCAGCTATACACCTGTTGTGGAAGTCCAGCTTACGCTGCCCCAGAGCTTGTGTCGGGGAGGGAGTATCTGGGATCTGAGGTGAGACAGTGAGGCTTGTCTGAGATCAGGTGCTCAATTCATGTTGGTTGTTAATTAACGAAGCCACAAGCAAGATCTACTGTGTTGAAAATTTCTTTGATCAAAGAAAGAGCTTTGCTTATTTATATGTGCTAGATATTAATTGATCAATTCTTTCTTAAAGGAAACTTATTGCTGCAGAATACTGGAGTTTTGTTTTTGTTTTCAGGCTGATCTGTGGAGTATGGGAATTTTACTGTATGCCTTACTCTGTGGTTATCTTCCCTTTGATGATGATAAAATCCCATCCTTGTATAAAAAGATACAGGTAATGTGAAAAGAAGACTGGTATTGGTTAAAGTTCACATAACATCTTTGAGATTCATTTTCAACTCCAGCTATAACAGCATTGTTGGTTAGGTATCTAAGACCTATAGCATGACTACGCTGTCAATAACACATGTCCCGCCATATTGCCTACTCTACTTTGGATTTAAGAGGAAGTTAAGCATTTAGTTAACTATACAATGTTTCATATAAAAAAAAGAGTTACGTTGTCATCGTAGTCTGTTCCTTGGCAGTTGAATTGTGAATATCTTTCTTAAAATTGGGAGAAATTAACGTTTTTTGGCACTGGTAATGGTAACGTTTGTCGGTACGAGTTATATAAGGGGAAAAAATGCTGGTCATCACTAGTGGTTCACACTTGAAGGGAAATATTCTCCATTTGTTGCATATGCTGAAGCTTTGTTCAAAGCAATATTAGGCTATCTAAATTTAATTCCCTGGTTCTCAGGCCAATTTTCTCCAAAACAGATGCGGGAGGGCGGCATTTTATTTTTCATTTTATTGGCAATAAAGTAGATGAGGGAGGTATTTTTTTAATTTTAATTTCCGAATTTTCTTTAACATAAAGATAATTTTTTTTAATCACAGATATACTTTCCAGATTCTGCTTTATCCATTGCTTAACAGCATGTAAACATCGTAGGTAATGTCCTCGAATGTATTTTCAAACGAAATAGCCAAAATCTCATTGTAAATGGCTACCGGAAGTGATATTTGAATACTAAACTACGAAACAAATGAGGTCGGAAAATGCAATACCAACTTTTTATTTTATGAAACATACAATAAAATCGGCAATGCGGCTACCTCAAAACGGATGCGCGTGGGCCTGAGAACCAAGATTTCAATTTTATATGGCCTTACGTTTTTAAATTCCTGTATGTTATTGTCTGAAAAGAGATTTGAAGTACACAACATGTACATGTACTTGTACTAAGTATAAAATGTGTTTATTTCAGCATGTTTAAAATATATACATTTACATTGTAATAACACTGGAAATACATGCAAATTCGAACATTTTTGAAATGTACAATATATTTCAGAGTGGGAAATATGAGACTCCATCATGGTTGTCAGAGGAAAGTAAATCGCTGATAACCTCAATGTTACAAGTCGACCCTAAAAAACGAGTCACGATACGAAACCTTCTCAACCACTCCTGGCTTATGAGTGAGGTTCAGTGCCCCGTGGAATGGCAAAGTAAATATAAGGTATATTAATGTGAAAAGATTTTTTAAGTGTGTGATGACTGGATTGATTCTTTACAAAATCTTAATTAACTGCTGTTTTAGTGCGTTACTTTGTCATTATCATTCAATAATGGTATTTAACATGTTGAACAGAGGTGCCTTGATGAAGACTGCATTACAGAGTTGGCTGTGCATTATGGAAAGACAAAGAAAGAAATGGAAGCAGCTGTTTCTGAGGTTTAGTGTTGCATATTTATATATAAATAATTGTCTTCATATACTTATTAAAATTATTGACATGTGCAAAGATGTAGACATATTTTAGAAAAATGAGATGGGTGAACATGACGAGAGATAAGCCCATAGCGCAACAAACATGAAGGTGAAAAATTAAATCTCAATTACATCAAAATTTTCCTTAATATTTCATCTAACATTAAAGTATACTTTATGTTAAATCTCTACAACTTGCACAAATCTCATGAAAATTGAAATTATTTACCTATGAAATATTATACACACATGAAAGAGGACAAAACGAGTAATTTTTAGCTCTACTGGTCAGAGACCAGAAGAGCTTATGCGATAGTAATGCGTCCGTCGTCCGTCCGTCTGTCTGTCTGTCTGTCTGTAAACAATTTTTCAAAATGCTACTCCTATTAGAGTTTTGGTCCGATTTCAATATAACTTGGCACACAAGTAGACTACACTAAGATACATAATTCTGTGCATCGGTTTTTGATTTCGATGAACAGTGTTGCCATGGTTACTAAAAACAGAAATTTCTTTGAACTTCTTTCAAAATGCTACTCCTCTTACAATTTTGGTCCGATTTCAATATAACTTGGCACACAAGTAGACTACACTAAGATACATAATTCTATGCATCGGTTTTTGATTTTGATGTATGGTGTTACCATGGTTACTAAAAATAGAAATTTCTGTGAACTTCTTTCAAAATGCTACTCCTCTTACAGTTTTGGTCCGATTTCAATATAACTTGGCACACAAACAGACTACACTAAGATACATAATTCTGTGCATCAGTTTTTGATTTCGATGTATGGTGTTGCCATGGTTACTAAAAATAGAAATTTCTGTGAACTTCTTTCAAAATGCTACTCCTCTTACAGTTTTGGTCCGATTTCAATATAACTTGGCACACAAGTAGACTACACTAAGATACATAATTCTGTGCAACGGTTTTTGATTTCGATGAACAGTGTTGCCATGTTTACTAAAAATAGAAATTTCTGTGAAATTTTATTTTAAATACTACTCGTCCACCAGTTTTGTTTTGATTTCAATATAATGTGGCACACAAGTAGACTACACTAAGATACATAATTCTGTGCATCGGTTTTTGATTTTGATGAACAGTGTTGCCATGGTTGCTAAAAATAGAAATTTCTGTGAAATTCTTTCAAATGCTACTCCTCCTTTAGTTTTGGTCTGATTTTAATATAACTTGGCACACAAGTAGACTACACTAAGATACATAATTCTGTGCATCAGTTTTTATTTTGTTGAGTGTCAAGGATCATTTTTCTATTGATTCCTGTTTTGAAGTCAAGTCACAACTGCTACTTTTCTCTTCCTTTGTTTTAAGTATAAACCAGTAGAGGTACAGTCTCGACAGAGACTTCTGGTTTCACACTATAACACTATTTTTCGATATGAGTGGGTCTTCTCTCCATTTTTTTGAGAGTTAATCCTCAAAGTTTGCATACAAATATACACATTTTGATTTCCAAAATCATGGAGCAAAGACCCACTATACCTTAAAATTATAATTTTATGACATAACTTTCGTATCTTTTCGAGAAATGCTTGAAGTCCCTTAAGTCAAGGGCCATATCACAAACATGATTTAAATGTGACACTTCATCAGGACTTGGCGTAGTGGTTAGCATGCTAGTCGCAATAGAGAATGCAACTGAGGATTTTTATTGCCAGGGTTTTAACCCAATGGATACCACATTATTTTTTTTAATAAAAGAATAAATTTTAATGAAATATTTTTTTGTTTATCTTGACTTCACGAATGATAAGAACTTTACTTCAATACTAAATTAACAATTTGAATATGATTTTTAGCTCACCTGAGCTGAAGGCTCAAGTGAGCTTTTCTGATCACATTTTGTTCGCGTCCGTCCGTCCGTCTGTCTAGCTGTCCGTCCATCCGTCCGTCCGTCTGTAAACTTTTCACATTTTCGACTTCTTCTCAAGAACCAATGGGCCAATTTTAACCAAACTTGGTACAAAACATCCTTGGGTGAAGGGGAGTTTGTTAAAATGAAGGGCCAAGTCCCCTTACAAGGGGAGATAATCAAGAAAAGACAAAAATAGGGTGGGGTCACTAAAAAAATCTTCTTCTCAAGAACCACTGGGCTAGGGAAGCTTAAACTTATGTGGAAGCATTCTTAGGTAGTGTAGATATTAAATTGTTAAAATCATGACCCCCGGGGGTAGGTTGGGGCCACAATAGGGAATCCAAGTTTTACATAGAAATGTATACAACAAATCTTTAAAAATCTTCTTCTCAAGAACGACTGGGCCAGGGAAGCTGAAACTTATGTGGAAGCATCCTTGGGTAGTGTAGATATTAAACTGTAAAAATCATGACCCCTGGGAATAGGGCGGGGCCACAATAGGGAATCCAAATTTTACATAGAAATATATAGAACAAATCTTTAAAAATCTTCTTCTCAAGAACCAGTGGGCCAGGAAAGCTGAAACTTAGTGGAAGCATCTTTAGGTAGTGTAGATATTAAATTGTTAAAATCATGACCCCCGGGAGTAGGGGGTGCCCACAATAGGGAATCCAAGTTTTACATAGAAATATATAGAACAAATCTTTAAAAATCTTCTTCTCAAGAACCACTGGGCTAGGGAAGCTTAAACTTATGTGGAAGCATCCTTGGGTAGTGTAGATATTAAATTGTTAAAATCATGACCCCCGGGTGTAGGGTGGGGCCAATATGGTCGATCAAAGTTTTACATAGGAATATATAGGAAAAATCTTTAAAAATCTTCTTCTCAAGAACCAGTGGGCCAGGAAAGCTGAAACTTATGTGGAAGCATCCTTGGGTAGTGTAGATATTAAATTATCAAAATCATGACCCCCGGGTGTAGAGCGGGGTCACAATAGGGAATCCAAGTTTTACATAGAAATATATAGAACAAATCTTTAAAAATCTTCTTCTCAAGAACCACTGGTCCTGGAAAGCTGAAACTTATGTGGAAGCATCCTTGGGTAGTGTAGATATTAAATTCTGAAATTCATTACCCCTGGGGGTAGGGCAGGGCCACAATAGGGAATCCAAGTTTTACATAGAAATATATAGAACAAATCTTTAAAAATCTTCTTCTCAAGAACCACTGGGCCTGGAAAGCTGAAACTTATGTGGAAGCATCCTGGGGTAGTGTAGATTCTAAAGTTTTAAAATCATAAAAGGGAAGGGGGTAGTGGGGCATGATAGGTATAGCAAAAGTGGTAAAGAACTGCATCACCCAAGTTACTCAGGTGAGCGATGTGGCCCATGGGCCTCTTGTTATATATCTGAAGGTAGTGGGCTTTCTGCACGCTAAGTTCACCCATCTCCTTTAGTAATAAATCCAATTTCTGTATTCTAATGTCTGAATAGGTTTTGCTTTGTTTTGTAGTTTAAGTTTGATTACCTAACAGCCACATACTTCCTCCTTCTTGAAAAGAAAATGAAAGGACGACCTGTCAGACTTCTAAATAAAGTCAGGCATGATGGATCAAGCCGGGTAACGCACATTTTATTGCTGACCACCATACCTTCATTTTAGTGATTTTAGTTCAAATGGTATATGATCTAACCTTTCTGTAATTTTTTTTATGATTTAGGAAAAGAGAAGTCACAGTGCGGATGATGCAGCCTGTTATGAACTTGTGTATTCGCCAAGACTGGCAGCATCAGAAAGAATAGAATCTCCTGTGAACCACAGCAACAGAAAAGACCTCGGGCCCCGCCCCACAACCTACGGGGGCTGTGAGGACAGGGGAAGAATTAGAGCCCGAGAGAGACTTCCATTCTCATCTAAAGAGGAACAGGAAAATGAGAAAAACTCTGTTATTTCTAGACAGAAGAGTAAAGATGACAAAGAAAACTTTGCTGTTCCTCTGACTCCAGGTATAAAGACTCCGAAACCAAAAACTGCAAAGACGCCTTATCAACAGCTGCTGATACCACCATCTAAACCTAGGTCACCTCTAATGGCCAAACAGTTAATACCCACATCACTTGATGATACATGTACGTACAAGCAACTGATTTTTTTTATTTACTGTATATATATAACTGAAAATAATAGTGAAGATCATAATATCTTGGACTTGCTCCATAAAATGTTATTTTGTTCTATATATTGTAAAACAGATATATTAATAGACTGAACAATTTAATATAGATGTCAGATTTGAAATGCTAGGTTCTGTTTCCTGACAAAAAATATGATTATTTCTCTAAGAACTGATTATTTATTTTTCAGTATCCCCAGGTAAAGCAGACAGTTCAGTAATAAATACAACCCTTTCTCCCTCTCGATCTTATGATTCTCAGCTCAATAGACTACCAGAGCAACTAACACCACTTAGTGCAAACAAAAGGTTTGTTTTTCTTCTTCTAGTATCTGTGGTAGATTTTTAAACACAACAATTAAATTTTATTTTCAAATGTACTTTGTTATACCAGGAGTTCAAAATTTTTTTTGTCATGGTCAAGTCCAGGACTTAAAGAGTAAATTTTAGGCAAGTCCGAGGAAGAAATTTCAGAGTCCATATTTACCTATATACATCATTAAATTTATGTTACTTGTAATTTATTTTCATTTGTTGCATTGAATGAACAAAGACTATATGTATTAAAATATGTTTTAATTTTTATTTTACCTCCATAAACTGTCATATAGTCATACATGAGTATTTCAACACATACCAGACTGATAGATTTGTACATTACAATAACTTTTTTCACTATTGAATAAACCATCTGTTACAATAAATAAAAATTAGAATGTGCTGTAAGTCACAGCTAAAACCGAAATTTAACAAACTCATTGCCGTTTGTTATATAGGAGGAAACATGAGAAATTTAAAAGCAAAGTCTAATCGCAACGGAAAATAAAAAGACGGATTGTATTATTAAACGTTATTGTTTTGTGGGTATTTTAACGCCAACAAACTCACCTTTTTACTTAACACATTTGAGAATTTGCTTTACTTTTAGCTTTACGATCATTTTTTTAACTTATAAAAAAAGATAAACAAGAAACATAGGATGAATTGAAGCTGATCCGGAATTTGTTAAGTAAAAAATACACTTTGTAAGGCAAGAATGATGCTGGTTTCCATTTCCAATTTTCCAGTATCATTCACTTTGACTTACAATTAAACACAATGTATTTGATTTTTTTCTGCTTTTTTGCTGCTATGCAAGCTTTCATCTTTCAACTGGAAGGGCTAGTTTATTTGAAGTTAAAGGAATATTATTCGGTAGAATAATGAATTGAAGCTGAAAGTAAAAAATACATTTACATAACCATGGATAATAATCAAAAATATCTGAATTAAAAAAAAAATATTAAGAAATGACAATCATTCTTTTTGTAACCATCTCTGTTAGAATTTTAAAACTAAAATCTCCAAGATTTGACTGATATCTAAAAATCACCCATTTCAATTTGGTGAATTTGAAATATAACTTATTTCTGAAAATTTTGGCTAGTGGCGTTGAATAAATTTAAAGAAACCATATCATGAGCTTCAGTAGCTTGGCTTGGCAATTACAGGGCCACCAAGGTCAAAGGTCATGAAGGTTTACACTTCCATAAATTGTGAAATTTTAGAAAACGTGTGATAAACTCTAATAGGGCTGCCTCTGCTGACGGACTAGAAGGCGATTTCACCCCCAAATCCAGGAAAGCCTCGGTGTTCGGAAGTTTAGAGAGGATGTTTAATATGCTGACCCCCAAAAAACAGAACAAGTCAACTTCTGATGGCCCTAGGAAAGTCAAGGTTTGTCTCATGTCTTCTGTCCTCAACATTTATATGTTTTAGTCATTAAAAGTTAACTGAGTTTTGCAGGCAGCTGTTGATGAAGATGTATTTAAAGTTCAAGTGAAATGTGATGCTCACATCTGATAAAAAAAGAATACAGTATGCAATATTTTATTGCTTTCTTTGTGAAAAGATTAGAATTTTTTTCCCTCCAAATGATTTTTTTGTTGTTGTATATTTTAGGCTTTACACAACATATTCCGAACAAATGAAACCAATTCTGAGTTTGTGTTAGGAAGACTAAAGGAGGTGGTGGAGGAGAAATGTATACCCTACAAACAGAGCGAGTAAGTTATAAATACTCTGGGGATCATAATTTTTTAGAAATTGATGTTGACCTTGTAGCTTGACCTATTAATCTTTTGAAAGACTATTACTGTGATCCTGAGATGCCACATGAGGGGCATCTGTGTTTACAAACATCTAATTTTTTTAATTTCAAATTTTACTGTTATTGTACTAAATTTTTATCATAATAGCAGAAAAATTATATGATATGAAAAAATTTATTTCAGTTACACACTTCGCTGCACAGTGATGAGTGACTGGTCCCGCGTACAACTGGCCTTTGACCTTGAGATCTGTACTTTACCCAAGGTTCCTTACATAGGAATCTGTAGGAAGAGGGTAAAAGGAGACACCTGGCATTATAAGAAGCTCTGTGAAGATATACTAGCTTCCTGTAAACTGTAAGTCTTATCCTGGTAAGTTTCCTGCAAGGTGGGCAGAATTTTATTCCTAAGCATGGGTGGTAGATAACTGAACAGATTGAACTAACAGGGTCATAGGTAAATGTTAATTAACAGACCTAATCAGCGTTTTGGTGGGGTGATATTACTTATTGGGATAGGATTTTCTATTATGAATTTTTAACAGTTGTTTAATTTGGTTGATTAATATCCTTTGATCTGTTTGTGTAGATTGCAAGATCTCAAGAAGATGAACATGAACAATTTTATTTTTTTTTTCTTCTAATTTCTCTATTCTTTACTCCTTTTTATACACCCGTCTTAAGACGGGACGTATTATGTTATAGGCTTCGTGTCCGTCTGTCCGTCTGTCCATTCCTGTCCGGCTCATAACTTGAATACTATTAGGCCTAGGATTATCAAACTTTGTCAACTCATACTTCTTGGGTAGAAGGTGTGTCGCGCACAAAAAGTAGGTCGCTCTGACCTTTAATAAAGATGCTATAGCCAAATATGGAAAAATCCTGTCCGGCTCATAACTAGAAAACTATTAGACCTAGAGCTTTCAAACTTGGCAAAAGTATACATCTAAAGTAGAAGGTGTGTCGCGGCCTAATTCAAGGTCACTGTGACCTTAAATTATAGTGAATTTTTTTAAAAAACTAAGTCTTTTAAATTCTAAATTTCATAATCCTAAAAAATGTAAAAATATAGTTGTATGCTTATTAAAAAACGTTAAATTAAGTAAAAACTTGTTTTTTCATTATATACTATACAGCAATCTGTAACAAATGTTTATGCTTTGAGAGGAATTCAGTTTGTCCCATGGGCTTAATTATCAAGCACTGGTCAAGAAGAATTTTGATAGCAGAAATTTGCATGTCAAATTAGAGAGAAATTAATGAGTTTATTGTCAGGAGCTAAGAGCACCTCTAGATCTGATGCAGATGTTATCTTAATTCATCTCTTAGGAGTTGGGCAAAAAGAAATGGCCTCATAGTTGCTTGTGCTAATTAAGAGTTCTTGATGGCTAGTCCAGATAAAGATCTTTCAATAGGTGTAATGAAATTAAAACGAATTGATGTTTTAGTGTATGATTAAAACTAAATTAGTATTGTATAATATGATTAAAACTAATTATATATGTGTTCATTTAAAAAAAATATATATATATTTCAATTTTTATATATTTCGACAACGATGCTATAGCAAAATATGGAAAAATCCTGTCCGGCTCATAACTAGAAAACTATTAGACCTAGAGCTTTCAAACTTAGCAAAAGTATACATCTAAAGTAGAAGGTGTGTCGCGGCCTATTTCAAGGTCACTGTGACCTTTAATTAAAATGAATTTTTTTAAAAACTATGTCTTTTAAATTCTAAATTTCATAATCCTAAAAAATGTAAAAATATAGTTGTATCCTTATTAAAAAACATTAAATTAAGTAAAAACTTATTTTTTCATTATATACTTTACAGCAATCTGTAACAAATGTTTATGCTTTGAGAGGAATTCAGTTTGTCCCATGGGCTTAATTATCAAGCACTGCAAGAAGAATTTTGATAGCAGTAATTTGCATGTCAAATTAGAGAGAAATTAATGAGTTTATTGTCAGGAGCTAAGAGCACCTCTAGATCTGGTGCAGCAGTTATCTTAATTTATCTCTTGGGAGTTGGGCAAAAAGAAATTGCCTCATAGTTGTTGTGTTAATTAAGAGTTCTTGATGGCTAGTCCAGATAAAAATCTTTCAATTGGTGTAATTAATTAAAACAAATTGATGTTTTAGTGTATGATTAAAACTAAACTAGTACTGTACAATATGATCAAAACTAATTATACATGTGTTAATTGAAAAAAAAAAATTATATTTCAATTTTTATATATTTGCTACAAATTGCAGTCATGTCTCACTAGTATTATTTGTTATAATCAATCCTTACACTGTAAGTCTCTTAGAGATGTATAATCATGATAATAAGAAATGGAAAATAGATAATTGAAATCTGTGTCAATCTGTTAATCATGGCTACCTGATTTTCTTGCATCCTAACCAATTTATGATTATTGAACAATATTTGACGGGCGTATCATGCTGTGGCGGGGCACTTTATTCCTAGATATTGAACTACTAATATGTATCACAATATACATGTATGCAATTATCACCTGCAGACATTTGCTGATCATTCATCATTTTTATAGTTATGAAATGTATATATTTGAAATATACTGTGGTTTTTATTTTTCAGGAAATAAAACTTGGTTGTGATTAATCTCAGTTCTCTACAAAGTGGGAAACAGATAGGACCCAAGGGAAGGAACGGCAGGAATTAAGATCCGTCATTACTGTGATTTTATACTGTGAATGCTTTCTGCAAAACGGTGCTTATGGAATATTTTATTAAATTTGATCAAAATTGTAATTTGATACTCACATTAAAACTAATGTAGAAAAATCATATTTAGGTTTTATGTATGAAAGATTATTGGTATTGTGAATGATATTTACCTCATTTTATTTCAATCATATTTTTAGTTCATTTGAACTGTAAGCTCAAGTGACGATTTCTAATCACCTGTTGTCCATCCGTCTAATGTCTGTAAAATTTTTACATTTTCTATTTATCAAGAACCCAGGGCCAATTTCAATCAAACAAAGCACAAAGTAGTTTTGGGTTAACAAGATAAACCATATTTCTTTGGTTATCTCGTAGAGTTTGAGTGGGACTACAGTTATTATGATCACAACTCTTTCGATTATCTAAAGATGAACAGCAGGGCTAAAGTTATTCAGGTGAGCATTGTGGCTTATTGACCTCTTGTTTATTTACCCTGTCAAGAAATACAGACTGTATGACTTATGTAATATATTACTCCAACATGTATGTGCACCACATAACTTACGTAATATATGTTTTCATTAAAGTGCTATTATTATAAGGAAAGTTTTAGATTGGTATCAGTACATAACAAGTACAGAACTTTAAAAAATTGTAGAAAGCTATTGTATATTTCCTAAAATATTCTTTTGCAAAAAAACTTTGGAACTATTATTTTTATGTAAACAATGTTGCATCACTACTAATACAGCAACTTCATGTACAACTCTTTTAGGGCTCTCCAATGTCTGTTCAACATAAAAGATATTTCAAATTATGTTTTATTTATCTTTTTTAAAAGTAGAATTGTGTCAGATATTTTACAATTAGTCTACTTTTTATTAAAATTTAATTTTTAATGTTATCCTGTAAATACATACTACCATTATATTGTAGATAAACATGCTCTCTCACTCCCTTCCTCTCCCCTCCTTTTTTTTTTGTATATAATATTTCATTGTCTTATATATTTTTTTCCTATGAGCTTTCACCAAATGGCAAATGCACACACACAGTCACACACACACACACACAATAGCAATATTTCCTATGTATCACTACACTGTCAGATCTGTATGTGTACTTAACAGTGTTGTCATGTTACAGATAATGATACTGATTTATTGTTCAAGGAAGGAGTACTTTATTCTTAAAATTTTTTATGAAGAATCAGGAATAAAAAGTTACCTGAGTAATGTTCTTCTTCTTGTCACTGCCTATTTTACAGGTATATGTACTTACTCATAAGAAATTTAAAATATTGACATTAAATGGAAGGTCTCATAAAAACAACCATTTCAGCTTACTTTCAGAGAATTGATGCAAGGGCATATTTATACCTTTTATACCCCCCCCCCCCCCGCAAACGAAATTTAGGGGGGGTATATTGGAATCACCATGTCCGTCTGTCTGTAGACGAGATTTTGTCCGGACCATTACTCAGAAACTATTGGTAGGATTTGTCTGAATATTTGTACACATTATTCACCATATGAAGGTGTGCACCTGGTATTTTCATCTTAATTGTATGATTATTTTGAATTTTACAGGTGTGTTTTTTTTCTCATTTTTATTTTGTGGTTATGTACAGATCGTTTCTCAGAAACTATTGCAAGGGTTTTTCTGAAAATTTGTACACTTATTATTGACCATATATGAAGGTGTGCACCTGGAATTTTCAACTTTATTTGTTCATTTTTCTGGATTTTACAGGTTTTATTTTTTATTTTAATTGACTTGTTCATTTTTGTTGAGCGCGAAAGACAAGTAAAAACAGCGTATTTCTTTATATTTTGAACGACTTTGACCAAAATTTCCAGGTCAAAGTTGAAAACTCTAATGCAGATAGTCCCTTGTCTCATTGGTGATGGTTTGGTATCTACACGGTTTAGGAGAAAAAGTCATAACCTTTTATTGAGGAATAGGTTTTAATTCCCTGGGGTGTCAAAGTTCAAATATGCAGGGCCAACTGTAAAGATGGAAAGACCTATTAAAAATAATACATCGTTCAAAAACACGTGGAGGGGGTATTTCCTAAGTGTGTATAAATTACTCTCATTGTCATTTTTACCAGGAGAGGTTGGGATCTAAGGTAAATTTTTCCCTGCCTATTCCTGTAAACCATGACTAACCAGTAAGCATAATTTTTCAGGATACCAGAAATTAGTTTTTGGTGTAGTGGGAAAAGCCAGGTGAACTTTTGACCTAACAATCAATAGCTGCCATTACCTTTACCATGATGTTCAAATGTACGAGGTTTAATGACAATCAGAAGTATTGATGTTAATCAAATAATAATGGGTTTCAAGACATTAGTCCGTAATAATTTGAATAGAAAAACCGGGTTTACATTGTTTTAATTGTCGCTCAAGTTACAATTAGAGTTTATCAAATGCATTTATTTATATTGGTAATCAAATGTATTTCAATCTCCATTTTCCTGAAGATGTGGAATACAAGTATATAAATTTTTCATTCTAATCAAATATAAAAACGCGTCAATTATAGTTAACAAAACTGATATTTTGTGTTGATATATAGTTTATGAGTAAATGGAATGTGTCAAAAGTACTGCACAGCATTGTCTCTAAGACAGATGTTTCATTAAAATCTAATATCGCGACAAATTACTTTTGTGCAAATGCGCTTACTTCATTTTCATAAATTATTTTTGTTGTAAGGAAAATGTAGCATAATTAATTCAATTTTACATGTATAAAGACTGCATAATGAATTTGAATTATAATTATTGATAAAAACGTAACAGATAATCATGCATCAAAAAGTACTCTAAAATTCTGAAAACCTGAAATTTTTCAATATCAATAAAAAGATCTCGGAGGGACGTTAAACAGACAAACAAACAATCTTCTTTGGGTGAGATTCATAAGACTGTGAATATTACATACATGGCCGTTGGGACCGCAGGGGGGGGGGGGGTGCCCCCAATAATTTTACCGATATAGAATACTATAGAAAACAAGAGATGTTTATAAAAGACTTATTGTATACCAAATTTTATCTCAATCTGTGCAACTTGTGTGAAGATGAAATGAACGGAAACTGCAAATAATTGGAATTTTTCCAAGTCTAGGGGCATGTCTCTGTCAAAAAAGGCTCGATCGAACCCAAAACAAAACTTGACCTAGTCCTAGATATTCTTATAATTAATCTGTACATCAAATTTCATTTTAAAATATGTGCAACCTCTGCAAAGAAAATGAACGGAAACTGACGGTGGACCGACGGAGTACCGACCGACAGACAGCAGCAAAGCAATTACCTTCCCTTCTTCGAAGGATGGCATAACTTTAAGCTACTACACGCTTATGCCCCCTCTATAAAAGCGTCTTATGATTTTTTTGCATGGATTGCAAGGATTTTTTGGTAGTTGATAGTGCCCCCAACTTAAAATGTTTTGCTGTGCTCCCCAAACCAGACTTGTCGAAATCCGTCGGTCCTGTCGGCAAGGCCGGTAAAAATTTGTCTGGACCGATAACATTTAAGAAATCGTCGGACCAGATGACCGTTTGAAAAAAATTGAGCGTATTGCAAACTAAAATTGCTTCGCTGCAGAACTCTATAGCTCTCCGATTCTAGCTATCCGCTGTTTCTCGATTTATTTCTCCATGTTTTTAAAACTGTCATCTCAAAGTATTGCTAACTGTGTGTTCCTAATATATTCTTTCACTGTTTGCACAACAACACATTCCTTACAATTATCATTAATAGCCGTCCTAGCCCTGAAATTAAGATCATTGAAAATTTTACCTACTAGTATTTATACTGCCATTCGGTTTGCAGGATAATTTGGTCCAATGCGATTCGAACAGATGTCAACTACGGGAGTGCTTAAGATAGAAGAGTAAAGAACTATTTTAAATCTAACTTTTTTGGAATTAAAGTAAAAAATTTGAAGATTTAATCTAGAATCGAGCGCACATTTTTGTGCGCAATGAATACACAGATTTTTCAATGGGTGGCACTGTAGCTCTCCGGTCTGTCAATATCTTTTTTTTCCGGAGAGCTACAGTTCTGCAGCTAGTCCTTCGGATGAGACCATATAAACCGAGGCCCCGCGTGTGTCGCAGTAGGTGCTGGCACGAAAAAGATCCCTTACTGCTCATTAGCCCTAATTAGTGCCGAGCATAAATTTATTACAATTTGCAGCTGCATTTACAAGTGGCTGTGGTGTCTTCGTTTGAGTGAAAAAATTTCGAAAGGGGAGTTCAACAACATACAAACATATAAACCTTACTTTCAAAACTGTAGCTAGAACATGCAAAGTATTCTGGATGTTCTTGATAGAATCGAAGTTACACAATGAGTAAAAAACTGAAAAATCATGTGTTTCTTTGAAGATATACGTATGTATCATAAAGCAAATGTTTTTAATTTATGAATATTCTGAGCATAGCAAAGATGCGACAAATAAGCTGCACTGTAAATCAAGAAAATATACGTACCGTTTCGTTGTTATCGAGCATGTCAAGGTCACGCAACTTTTGCGTAAAAATGTGATTTTGAACATGTTTTATTGTAATATAATTACAAAGGGATTGAGCACAAGTTCTGAAAACTTATAACGCCCTCTCCCTATACATGTAAATTACACATTTTTATTGTCACAGTTAAACATGCTATATGATAAAGTATTCAGTATTTGTAAACAAATTGATGCATTTTGCATATACCTGGTACGTATAAATATATAAAAAGTTGAACAAATTCACATATTAATATTGGTACAGTATTTAACAAGGAAATCTACCAGAATCCTTAATAAATGTGTGAACAAAAGAAGAGAGACGTTCATTCTCTGCAGCATTCAGTGAACCAACCCCCATAATAAGACATGTGTATCTAGTATGTGGATTTTATCAAATTGTAAAAAAAAATATGTAAAAATGTAACCAACAATTGAAGCATGCAAAGGAGAAAAATATGGTTTAATAATCTTTTTGAAGAATGTATCAAAATTCTTGGTCTACTGACATTCACTATTTGGTACGACACCTTGGTAACGTTTTCAGTTTTTCTGTGCACGCGTGCAATAAAGAGGAAAAGTAATATTTTTGTGTAGGGCCATACAATTTTTTCTCTCCATTAAATTAGACTGTCTATAATCTGTTATTTTCTGAAACCCAATTTTAATTTTAAACCTTATTGCATTCTCTCCTCACCATTGTATTAACCCAATATCAACGGTTTTTTCAACTAAAAATCAACCTCATTTCAACCAATTATCAACGCGTCTATTTAACATTGATATCTGACATTGAAACACCGTTGTAGTTCAACGCCTCAACTTTCATATGCAACCAAAATTCAACTTCTGTTCAACGTTGTTCAGTCTTGCTAATAAAGATTACCCCCCTAGGGTGAAAATGAAAATACCGAAATCTTATTTCACATGAACAGTACACCACATTTCATCTTCGAAAAGGTGATTTGGCTACTGCTTAAAGTGTAAGAAGTGTATAGGGGACCAGGATTTAAAGCTGAACACGATTCGTAAAAGGAATAAGTCCGCCATTTTTGCTCCCGATTCTCGCTACTCTGCATACCCCTATAAATAGAGCAAGACTTGGTCACTGTTTAGTGTAATCAGTCGACACCGGAGCAGACGGACGTATACTATGCAGCACTTGGTAGCGAGAATAGTTCGTAAAACTTCGTCTAATGCAGGAAAGAAAGATACCAAATAAATTTACAATTATAGTAGTGCAGTATACAAACAACAAAGATAAATGTAACTGCAATAAAATGTAAAGAAAGGTAATGCAAGATAACCAGCACGAACACGGTCGCCATTCCACGCCGATACTCGTGACAATAAAGCAGTCAGGTGTAACGAACTCGAGTGATCTAAATAAAACATCTCGTGTTGTTTAGTGTTTGTATAAATATGGCGGGAAAACAGTATATTTCCTGTATTTTTTTTTTGGTCTAATCAGGACAAACAACTGATTAACAAACAATATCAAATACTGAATAGCAGATAATTTTATACAAGACCTCAAAGCTGAATTGATTGTTTAACAAAATGTATTTTTTTTTACAGTTATAACATGTATTTTGTAGATTATTTATCCTTGCAATATTATTTAACAAGTCAATACCTCCTCTTGTTAAATTAAAAAAGTAGAATAAGAATGTCTTCACATACATACATGTCAATAGTATTAAATATAATAGTGACGTGCCATCGTGTTTGAAAGGGGGGGACAAGCCAGAGAAAAAAAAACAACTTCTATTTACTTGGAGGAAGGGGATGTAGGTCCCACTTCCTACAGTACCAAATGTTATTCATACAAAACTAGACCCGTGATTGGCTTTATTGTAACAAAAAGAGGGAGGCTGTCGGTGGTCTTTCAATGAAGATTTTTCAAACGTAAAGAGATGCTTGGAAAAAGAAGTGTGGGGAGCGCTTCCATCAGCTGCTGCGTGCTTGTATTCTCTCTCCCCCCCCGGTAACATTTTGGACGGGGTATAATTGGTCAGAAATGTACCGTAGCTGACATTTTTCATTTATATAGTGCAAGTCATAGGATGTGAGAGACAAATACTTTTACAAAAATGTGACGTCGGTTGGAAAGAAAGCTTGAGCTAATGTGTTTTTCATCGTCTTACATGGCTGTGGATGTTAATTTTGACTTTGTAAAAATAATGTTCAATATTTCAACTAAACGCGTGAAAATGTTCGATAATTATTACGATAGTAATTAAAGGCTGAAAAGGTATTTCTATATACTTGTAACATTTATTGTAAACAAAGAACCAGTTGGTTCTGGGGACCCGACCTCCATATTTCTAAGATTTCATTGTACAATGTAAATCATTCTATATCTTTTCAAGAAGAATAAAATTGCAGAATTAATTTTGGTCTTAGGTGTAAGTTCTTTTGTAAACGGGCCCCCTGATTTTAAAATTGTCTATTAGATTCATATTGATTCACTAAAATTATTTTTTTTTTAGATTTATCAATTGAAAAATAGACATGTCTTGTTAATTACTTTACACATAACATGTCGTGTTAATTACTTTATGAAGTTAAATGATTAATATCAATAATTTAGTTTTAAGATAATTACAGGATCAAATGCGAGAGCAGTTTCAGTTAATCCAGTCAATCTAACTCAAAAACACCCAAACTTCAAACAAATTGCAACAGAAATGATTCCAGTGGAATTTTGTTATTAATAATGTGCCGTTTGATATATCAAAACTCTAGAAAAAATATTTTTTTTTCCGATTACCAAAAACCCAATATTTGTTCGAAAATGCGAATAAATCTCCTTTTGATCAGACATTCTATTTATGCATAAAAATAGTTTTGCTATTTGGAATATGGTCTTCAAATTTTTTGACAGTCGATCACGCAGGAATGCGTCTGCAAACTGAAAGCGGTGATTATTTCATTAGTTGCTATGGACCCCTGTTCCCATGGCAACAGAAATAATAAAAAATCAAACCTTTCCAATTCTTTAGTACGGTTTCATGCAGGGACAAAATATATAGCTATATTAGGAATGAATTAGTATAGCATTAATTTGTTAGTGAGGACCTAAATTAATTTTTAAAAAGTTATACGGGATAATGTAAGCGCAGACATCCGAATTTTTAAACAAACACTGACATATTTATGCAGAAACTGTTTTCGCATTAACAATGCGACTTCACTTCCCGCCATTTTTTTTACCTGTTACTCCAGGTAAACTGAGGAGTATACTCGCGTAACACGGGTTGATCACCCGTGTCGAAGATAGGTTGTTTTATTTACAACTCTAGTGACTCGTGTAACCCGTGTCGCTTAATCGAATATACCCGTAGATGATATCGAAAATGGCGTATGCCTATTTACGAGTCGTGTTCAGCTTTAAAGGAGGAAAAAAAATTAATTTAATTTTTTTTTTCCTCCGGGTTTAAACATTTTAACACATCTGAAAGGCATAATCATCATCTTCCGAAAGATGTTTATGTTACCGCATAAAATGTAGAAGTTCAAGGGACCAGGGTCTTTTTGTAAATAAATAAAAAAAACTCATTTGTTGAACCTCATGAGACTCCAGGATTAAAATGAAAATTCCGAAACCTTATTTCACATCTACAGAGCACCACCAATCGGCATAAAATAGATGATTTGCGTTCACTATATAAAATGTAGAAGGAGTTCAGGGAACCAGGATTTTGTAGAAAAACATCATTGTTGACCCCCGTTTAGCCGAAATTGGTCCCAAGGATAAATATGGAAATTCCAGAATCTTATCACAGGAAAATATCTATCATATTCCAAAAAGATTAACTGTCTACTGCTTAAAATAAAGGAGGATTTTGAGGAGGAAGAGAGTGTGACAGACGGACGGACCAGTGTAACAACAATATATCTGAACTTTATTTTTTGAAAGTGCGGGTATAACAATACTTTGTCTAGAATCCTTTGAATAAGAAGCCTTAGAAGGTATGAAATTCAATGTTTTGTATAGCAGTGCTTAAAAAAATCATAGCATGTACGCTATAAATATGCCGAGAATATACTCGTCATTTCATTGCATTGACAGAATATTTAACTAAAACATTTCAGCCCAAGAATTGAAAGATTGCTGCCTATAAGTACTAGTTAGGAAAGAAATACTAATAAAAGGATAATCCTCGAACAAAGTGAGGATTGAATTAAAAAGACTAGTGAAGAGTATCGGTAGCTGGTACCTGTCAAGGATTAAATGTTTTCCAACTTCTGCGAAGCAGCTTGATACTTTCCCCGAATTTTGAAAATAGCAGTTGCAATGACGTAAATTGCATCGTTGTTCCTGATGCATTGGTGAATTGTGACCACCTTTATGCATTCTAATTTTTAAGTTTTACGTCAGGAAAATAAAAGAGTGACCGTATTCTAATTACTAAGTATCGCCATAGTAAATTATGCTGACTTCAAAATCTTAATGAAATCAATTGTTTGAAAGACGCAAAAATGAATTATTTATAACGTATGTATGATAACTGAATTTGACATTGATTAGTTAATACAATGAAATAGATGGATTCCACCGTACACATTCACATTTTATTATGCGACTCTATTAATTGATTTTCATCGTATTGATCCTTGCATACTTCTACCTCATTTCACCTTTTAGATTCAAGGACGCCTTAGCTTTTTTTGTCAAAAATGTAACGAAGTACATTAATGAAACCACAAAAAGTGTTGTCTACAGTTTTTGTGTGTATATTCATAGTTTGAGACGATTAGTTATGAAGTGCCTCTTTCTTAAGCGATCGTTCAGCCGTGAATCGTCGACCCAACTTACGCCTGTTTAAAAAGCAAATATTGTAAAGAGCTGAACCTAGGAGTGTGGAAGAGGCCGGTTTTGTTCTTAACAGCAGAATGTAACTTCCTAGTCTGTTGGTCTGTCTTCTTCGGTCACAAAATTTCGGATTTCTCAAGGATCGGACGCAAAAATGGACTTTCCCTCTGTTTCTGGCATATTTTTATGCCTTCTGATCACTTTGCCAGGTAAGTTTCTTTTTGCCTCCTTTCCCTGTGTAGTCGTGTCAATACCTATGGTGTAACTTTTTGACCCTTATAAGCATTTTAAAATTTAAAGTCAGTCTTTAATTGTATACAAACAATTTGATAATCAGCTTATAATCAACAAGTCTTAGTTAAAAATTCAGTATTAAAAGTTCATATGAAATAGGGTGGGGCCAGGAACCTCTGATTTTTGTCTATTTATATCATATGATTAAATCACCATTGGTGGTTTTCCTCTTTTCCTCTAAGACTATTATTTATAGAATAATTCTGCATAGCTCTGTCTGGATTCCCAATTACGACAAAACGTAGTGTAAGCTGATCCAATGAATGCTCCACTTGTCTTCAAAAGAAAGGAACTTTACGGTATTCAAAAGGGGTACACATATTGCAATTCATGTTTATTTTGGAGGCGTTAACAATATCAGCGAAAATATTTGATATGTAAATGAACGGTTCCATGCATGATTGCAAGACTGATCAAGAAGTGATGTGGACTTTTAAAGAAGACCAATAGACCAAAAGGTCAAAACATTGAAAAAAGTATTTAATATGTGAACCGACCAAGGTGCAAAAATTAAAAGCTGAGGGTGGATTTAAGATCTTTAAAGATTAAGAAGCATTGCATTGAATTTCTGTCTATGTATGGTGTAACACTTTATTATCCACCCCTATTTGACACACAAACACAAAAGAACACAATGTGGTCTACTAAGCCGTGTTGTATAATGTTGGTTTTGATTCTGTCGACAGGTTGACTCAAACCGGAGTTAGGACTTAACCGATCAATGATACATTGGTCAGTTATTTGATCGACATATACATCTATTGTAAAAGTTCCATTTTGGGCCTTTTTGGTTTACTTCTCTTTAATTATGTCTGCCAGACCGGCGGGGACCTTAGGGCACGGACAGCGTGTAAAGGGGAGTTTTACGACATTATTCGGACAATGGCAAGTGCAAGTGTCGTTCGTCCTGCAAAAAACCGCTTTCTGAACTTTAAAAGCAGAGGGCATAAAATTATGACTGTATATCACAGATTCTACAGTATTGGTTGTGGTTCTTTTTTATTGTAGAAAAGCGTTAATTGTTTTTACAGTATGGCACAACTAGGTGTTAAACCACCTTAATAAACAGGAATTAATGACCGGAAAATCAGGTCTTTATCCGGACACCTTAAGCATTCATTACCTGGAAAGAAACACAAATGTATTGTAAGGAAGGGGATTGAATGGACATGTATTGAATATGGCCACGGGTAGCTATAGCCTACCATCAGTAATTTCGAAAAATACCAGAAAGTTTTAACTGCAACAAACTTTCAATATTTTATATCAATTTATGCACTATTCAGCGCAGACTTCCCCCCTTAAGGCTAATTTCCTAAAAATCGAAACTCTGCAATCAAAGTTGCACGTAATTTTTGAATTGTTATTTCCTTGGGCAAATTGTGCAGTTTACTTTTTTAAATTAAATATGCAGGTCAGTTTGCAATTGCATGTGTATTCTTATTCAGAAATGCACTATTTGGCCTATAAGTGCAAGCCACTTCCTTAACGATTTGAATTACATTTCCAATACTTCTTTAAGTAGAATTTTAGACCAAAAGGATTTAAAGTAATGTATACATATATAATTTATCTGTTATGCATGACTCAATTCATTATATACGCGTACTAAAACGTGAATTATGCATCTTCAAGCCACATTTGATGAGGTTTAACCTACGTCTCTTTAATTCCTCTGATCAAGTTTTTGTTAAAATCAACAGGTGCGAAATATTTCCATAACCGACTCGTGGATTTAGTTGATCAACCGCAGAAATAATGATCTAGATCAATAAATAATGGTCATCTCAGAGATTCTTATCATAGACCAAGGACTAAGATAATGAAAAGAAGAAAACCGGTTTTTTTAAAATGATTTACATGTGTATGTTTACTTATGAATAATTCCTTAATGGCGTTGCGTTGATATTGTGATTTATTCATGAGAGCTGTCGTAGAGATGATACCAGACATAGGAAAATTCCACTATCCCCCAGTAAAAATAGATCAGAGGAAACCAGGAAGAAATATATATTAATTTGTTACAAAAGAAACTTTTTAATACACCCTTTGTGATATATAGTTTAATATTAATTTGCGCCTGGCTTCATGTGGCTCGAAACTTCAGACACTTTTCTTTCTTTTGCATGTTGTAAATGTAGCTACATAGATAAATTGTATTTTTAAATTAGATTAACGTTCAATTTACAGTTAAGTAAACTGAATACTCTACTTTATGTTAAATTGCATTTTTATGTTAATATTTCTAACCACAATTTGCATATAAGTTTGTGGCATACACGTGCTTATTTGCTACATAAAACGTGAAAGAATAATATTGATATGATAGAATCTAAGGATATACAAATCTTATTAAAATATATAATATATACAGCATACTGAATATCTTAAAAAAGGTACAAATTAAAAGTGATCGATAAACAAGAAATCCTCTTTTGATATTTTACTATACAGTAATGTGTTTAATGCAAATACAGGAGTAAATCAGAACTTCAGGGTCATCTGATGAAGGCTCAAATCTTTATGCGAACACAATTGGAAGTAACTCCAAGACTGCAATGACATTATAAGCCTATACATACCAGGGACTTAACCAAGCATGCGAAAGTATACTGTAGTATATGAATTGCAAGATATGATTTATAAGGAAAGTAATCTTTCATAAATTCTATTAAAACTTTCCAAGAGGTTGTACAGAATAAACTTTTATTTCTCCTCTTTTCTGGTCTGAGTCAATCCAAAATGTAATTTGTTTGAATAAATAATGTGCTATAAATGTATAGGTATAAAATCATGAGAAAGTCCCCATTTTATCCTCCGAAAGATGCAGTGTTTTCAAGACAAAGAATGAAATCTATCAAAACGTTGCTCTATCCCAGTTCTCGTACCTGCCCAGTTTGTTTAAGTACTCAGTATGATTTGTTTTGTTTCTTGTCGATAGTGTCGCCCGCGTGGCGCAGTGGTAAGAGCGTCTGCTCTAGAGTCGCGAAGTAAGGAGTTGATCCTTACGTCGCGGGTTCGAATCGACTGTGGGACGTGGACCGGTCCTTCGGATGAGACCGTATAAACCCAGGTCCCATGTCGCACTAGGTGCTGGCACGAAAAAGATCCCTCATTGCTAAATGACCGTAAGTGCCGAGTATAAGAAAAGATTTGCAGCTCTCCACCGGCAAGTGGTGGCGTCTCCATATGAGTGAAAAATTCTCGAGAGGGACGTTAAACAATGCACAATCAATCAATCTTGTCGATACTTGTTAGAGAAACGATAGTCATCCCATGTAGGCGTACAGACCAATGAAAAAGATAAAAGTTAAACCCTGATCCTTTTTTTTCTTTTATGAAGAAGCTTCTACTTTTTGGGTAAATTTTATTTGTCATCGCTATATATTTCAATCGGATAATGCATCATACATTTTTTTCATAAAATGTCCATAAAAATTGATGACTGTTGTTCAAATGTTTCAAATTTTGACTAATTGTTGCAATAAAACTTATTTGACCCATAGTATTCCGATTTGTCATGAATTTCTCTTAAATTCTCCAGTAAAAAATATTGTATGTTATACGTTCTATACTTGTAAAACACATCTTTAAAGAGCGAAAGAATATTTGTTGAAATGAAAGAGTTTATAACTTAATAATTTCAATCCAAGTGTATTGTCAATCCAAGTTGGAAAAAAAGTACGAACAAAGAGTTTTCCGGGAAAGTTACGGATGAAACATCCATGATTTTACAGTTTGTTGTGTTAAATTGCCTTTTCAGTATTTTACTACATGCTATCTTCACATTTTGTATTATTAGTGCTATATACAAAACTAAGTACTAAATTATAGTTAAATAAAGGACTTTTTTAAGCCATCAACACACCTGGTTGCTTTGGTGTCTGCAGCTTCCCCTCTTTAACATCTATATTCTAATTCTCAGGTGCTTCTGCTCTGGATGTCGGGTTAGATGGCATCATAGGGGCAACCATAGCAGCGGGCCTCATGTTGGTTGCCATAGTGATCGTGTCGGCCATTCTCTGTTACCGGTGAGTACAATTTTTGCAAAGGCATCGGCAGCATAGTTCAAAATTTACATGTAAGTGATCAAAATATATATGCATGGCTTGGAAGTTAATTTTCCTAAAAACAATATAAATTCTATTTTTTTTTACTAATATGTAATTAGCTCAATGAATCAGAATTTGTATGATCCTTAATTTACTTTATATTTTCGAAAATGACATTTTACTAGTATTGCAACAAAAATGTGACCAGAAAAAAAACATGTATTGGTTTTGCACTAAATTGATAAGTTTCATTGGCTAGAGGAAATCAATTTAGTTAAAAAATAATTTATACTTTATAGCGAAAACTAGAATGAAGTAAATGAAAGAAAGATATGTAAAATTAAATTAGAATATGTTATTAAAAAATTCCATCCATAAAACAATTCTCACCGTCGAAATTGGATATGTAACAACTCATTTGTGCCATTCTGTTACAGTAACTGCATGGAACCTTGAAAATGAAAGATGATTATGTATTATCAAAGTATATTTTTTTAATGGTTAACTGCATTATACTCAAATAGTTTAATAAGTGGATCGCAGCAAAACATTAGACCAGGAAGTGATGGTTCTGTGCAATTGATTTTATTTGACATTTAAAGTATTGCTTGAATAGATAACATTAATGTCAATGCAGCCGTTCACATTTTTTATTTGTGAAACACACAAATAATTAAGAAAGAAAAACCTTAAAAAGAAAATAATAATACATGTATATATACCAAAAAAAATCTTGTATGAAAAGACCTAATTAATTACTGAATTCTTTTTGGGTGGTTATTCATATAATAATGCAATAATTGATGATTTTTCACCAGTGAAATACTTCCTGATGTTGGTCGTCACAAAAGATTGATTTCCAACAAATCTAATGTCAAAAAAGTCCTGTATGCGTCAGTGTATGTAACAGATTGGGCCCCTGTTATCTTTCTCGTAATATTGACAAAAATAAACCCCACTAATTGAAGAGAAACAAAAATTGACATAGATAAATCTTATGTTCGATTGTACATCGTGTTCCATGTAAGTCATTTTATGATGATAAAAAATAAACTGATATTGCGTAAACCTGTTTTGTCCGTATTCTCAGACTTCGAGAATTTATGAACAGCCCCAATACATTTTTTCATTATTATCTGCATGACTTAATGGCTCCTTCTCATTATAAAGGTTGACACCACCAAGTGAACCTGCAAAGCCCCGTCACAGGAAACCGCCACCAAAACCAAAATATGACATGAACGGGAACGCGCCAAATGGTATTCCACTGCAAACACGAGTGCCAAATGGGGTCATGAGGTCCCCGCATGGAACACAGAGAAGCAACCTCAGCAGGCAGATAGGGAGTCATAGAGGACCCCCCGGTCCCTTAAGGTTTGCCGCTGCCCCACCAGGTCTCTACAGGTCAATGATGCCGCCATATTTCATGCATCCTCCGTATCAGCAGATCATCTACATTGACGAGTCGGATGACGATGATCGTTCGGTTCGATCCACAATGCGAGAACACAAAAAGAGATACAGAAGATCATACTTTTCAGCCAGTAAAGATGCCTCGTCCAAAGTGGAGATTAAGTACGTATACAACTGTGTTCATAAAATTGAATACTTAACTAATCTTTTTTTCATTTTCACGGGTAAAAATCTGTGTAATAAAGTTGTGGCTGCGGAATTCTTTAATTATATCCATGCTAAAATTGACTATCTCTGATCTTTTACTCTACTCTGTGCACTCTTCAAAATGTTTTGGTTGTCAGCGATAAAGTAAAGAAGAGCTTCAAGTTTTCAGCTCTATATATTAATTGCAGAAAAAGGTCTAGAAGACCACATCCAAAACTTCGCGATTTTCTTCATTCAAACCCTCCAGGGTAAGATTCTGTAGAGCTTCACACAAAGCTACGCTACAAAGATCCGTGTGTTGCATGTTAGTGCTGCTGTTTTTGTTGAATCTCACTTCGTTCTAGATTGAGTTTATCATTGTTTTTAAATGTTTCCTTGGTAACATAACATTGAAGACGTAGACGTTTAAAATAGAAGAATCATTTTACAGAGAGACTATGGAGAAGGCCAGAGGTGAAACTAAATCCAATTCTTCGAGCTCTCTTTCAAAAGCGAGCAATAATTTGGCCCGGTATGGTTACATTCTTGCACCAGATATAAATGTATAATAATCATTGATAGTGATGCATTAGTTTATTACATGTACATGTAGTTCTAGAAAATATATAGAGAGTCAATAAAATATTTCCATTCTAGGCGCATGTGTGAAGCTGCAAGCATGATTCCTCGCACAAATCGTTTGTTAAAAAAATGTATATCACCACATTGTCACTTTTTCAGAAAAGGAACAAAACAAAAACGCACTAGTCGTAAAGCTAGAACGCCAAGGTCTAGCACCACAAGCTCAATAGCTTGGTCAGTTCGGTAAGCCTAGGGTTCTTGTGAAGTGGGTGTGAACAGTGCATGGTGATTTGTTAACCTGCATGCTAATAATTAACAAAGTTAGAGAATGTGATGAAAGATATCAAATGTTTCTATGCACAAACTTTAGTTTCAGAACGTTGCCTTTGTTTTTTTCTTGACTGGTTTGCTGTACATAGGCCTTAATCACTGCATGGTAGTTCACAAAATACGACGAGGATTGTTTTGTTCTGTTCATCAGATATACGTTGTCCTTTAGAGTTTGATAATATTTAATCAAGTTACATGTACTCGGACATCGAAAAAGTATCTTAATTTGGACATTTTCCAAAATATCTCGAGTGAGTTTAATAAGAAATCCATTTTATCAACGGTTGATTCTGAGTAGACAATAAAATTATGCTATATCACAGAGACCAGAATGAAAAGAATACAAAACCCAGGAACATCGAAGAAGAAACAAAGGAAGAACAAAGACGGGATTCAACTTCTAGTGGGTCGAGTCGTTCTTCTAGTTCGTCAAACTCCTCTAGTTCTAGCTCTAGTTCTTCCTCTAGCTCCACAAATAAGGAAGGGTAAGATCGGTGGTCGTATGCTCCTTGGTTGTGGTACATGTTGCACGTGCCTGCATGATGTCTTTTATAACTGTTGTTGAGCTCCGAGGAGTGAAGGAATCGGTGAATGTGTTTGAAAATGTAAAAAAAAGTTTATGTACGTGCAAAACATGTCAGGAGAAGGAATGCAGTATATGGTCGGTATCTTGGAAATGAGATCAATGTCCAACTCTCTGATGACGAAATATCAGCTTTTGCTACATTTGCAGAAAGCGCAACATTCCTAGGCAATTGTTTTTGTTTGTCCTCAGTTCGTTGCAGGGTATACTAGTATATAGGCTATTGCATGTTTATGTTATAGGGTTTTGTTCAAGTCTGTTATGGCAAGCGGTTTTGGGAGAGGCTTATAATGAATGTGGTTATTAAGAAACAGGATCATACTATTTCTATACAACATTGTGTTCGCTTATGAGTCTCCGTGCATGAGAAATAAACTATTGATGAAAATATTTTACGATTGTTTACCCGTGTTTTGCTTGTTTGGTGTGGGTTTTTGAATGATTTTGTTGCTTTATTACATAGAATCTTTTATGTAGACAAAAGGATGCTCCGACTTAAAAGAAACATTTTGAAGACCTTTGTTCATTCATAAGAATTCAACTCCAATTTTTTTATTGGTCTCAATATTAGATAAATGATTTGAGTAATATAGAAATCTGCTTTTATTATCAAAGGGAATGAAATTTTAAAAGACTGTGAAAAATGTTATTAACTTCATTGTCTTAACTACTTGCATGTAATAGTATTTCCAAAATCGCATTGAGAAAATTTCTTTAAGATATTATTATACTTCTGTTAAAATGTTTCCTATATAAAGTTCAGAAGGTAAAATAACTATCCTTTATCCTACTCTCTCAAGGACATTGTAGGCATAGAGAGTAGGCATAGAGGGACTATCGTAAGGTCCAATGCAGGCATAGGTAGATTTTCGAAAGGTTCAATGCAGGCATAGGGAGACTCTCCCAAGGATGGTTCAATGCAGGCATAGGGAGATTCTCCCAAGGATGGTTCAATGCAGGCATAGGGAGACTCTCCCAAGGTTGGTCCAATGCAGGCATAGGGAGATTCTTTCAAGGACTAACGTAGGCATAGAGAGACTATTTCAAGAACCAATGTAGGCATAGAGCGACTATCTCAAGGACCTATGCAGGCATAGGGAGACTCTTTCACGGCCCAATGTAGGCATAGGGAGACTATCTCAACAACCAATGGAGGCATAGAGAGACCATCTCAAGGACCAATGTAGGCATAGAGAGACTCTTTCAAGGTCCAATGCAGGCATATGGAAACCTTTCTGAAGCACCAATGCAGGCATAGGGAGACTATTTCAAGGACAAATTCAGGACTTGGGACACTTTCTCAAGACCCAATACAGTCATTGAGAGACTCTCTCAAGAAACAATGCATGCTTTGTCAAACTCTCTCAAGACCAATTCAGGCATTTAGAGATTTCTGAAGGACCAAAGTAGCCAATGTAAGACACTCTCAAGGTCCACTTTAGGCATTGGGAGACTTTCTTAGAGACCAAGATATGTATTAGGCGACTCTATGAAGGACAGAGACAAGCATTAGGCGACCCTCTCAATGACTAATTTAGGCACTGGAAGACTCTCTCAAGGAATAAGGCAGGCATTGGGAGACTTTCTCCAGATCTAATACAGACATTGAGACTCTCATGCATCAATACAGGCATAGGGAGAGACTCTGTATATCAACACAGGTATTAGGTGTTGTGAAACAATTATACAGGCATTGGGAGAAAATCTAAAGGTCAATCTCAGGTATTGGGAGACTCACTCAAGGACCAAGGCAGGCAATGGAATGATTTCAAATAAGTCAATGCAAGTATTGTCTGAAACATTTTCCTACTCTCTCAAGAACTATTGCAGGTATTTTCCTACTCTCCCAAGGACTATTGCAGGCATTTTCCTACTCTCCCAAGGATTATTGCAGGCCGTGAGAGACTTCTCTGTTCAGCTAATGTCTGTACTTAGAGTACACGAATTTAGGTCGTGTTTTTATTGGTACGTCATACAGTCGACCAATTTCTAGACAGCGAGACATTATAATTCATTAAAGCCTGCATTCGTTCATGATATCCCTGCTTAACATCATGGAGAATTTGTGAGAAGAAAAGCATTAATAATTACAATCACCTACATACAATTGTGTAAATTATATATAACATTGCAGATTAAAAGATTGAAATTGAAATATATTGTCAGCAAGAACCTCCCAAAGTGAAAGTTTTACAATTTATGTTAGTTTCTTGTAAGTTGAAATGACACATTAGTAATCCTACCCTGAAAAGATGATATTTGAAAAAAAAATACTGAAATTTTGGACAAAAAATAGTATACTGTCCGTGTTCTTTAAGGATACTCGTCTTCATTTTGGACCAAAATATCAAGTGATGATTTCATACAATTGAATTCATGATCTGAAGGTTTTATTATTTTATTGGTTTTCATTTTTTTTCTATATATTTCATTATTGGTGGGGTGGATTGAGACACACGCTTTGGTAAATGATAACATTCAAATATGGAGCAAACTTTAATAAAAAACATAAAACAATAAACAAAACATAAACCAGCTTAAAAATGTCAAAAAGTATAAGAACCCTAACCCTTAGTCACTATTTAGAGAAAACTTATATTTCCCGTATATTCGATTATGTAATTCTAAACACTTCAATTTTTTTCAGTAGTTAATAAGTTCGTATAATTTACATGTATTTTAATCAAAGTCTATTTATTTTCTTCCAGGGAAGTTGAAAGTGCTGAAGAGCAGGTAAATATCTTTTTAAAATGCAAAATCATACTCATCACATGTAACAGAAGAATGATTTTGGACCTTTAACTTCGATAACTAGCATTCATATATATTACAGATGAAATTTTCTGATGAAGAGACAAGTAAAAAGTCTCCTGAAAGAAGAAGAAGATCGAAATCTCCCGAGAAGCAGACGACAGAACAGAGGAGATCTCGGTCCAAATCTCCCGAAAATGTTCCATCTCTGAGACAGTCAGCAAGACGAGATTTGTCCCCAAGGATGTCCAAGGAATCCAATGACGAAGTCAGACAAATTGATGACATGTTCAGCGGACTGAATGCTGAACCAACGCCTGGAGACATCATATTTAGAGATGGCGGTGAAAGTTCATCGAAGCAGACGACTCCAAGAAAATCATATACAGAGGAGGAAAGAAATGTGGTGATGGAATATTCCACTACTGAATATGCTAAGGTTATAAAACCAAGCGAACCAGTGGGAGACATTAGGAGGTCAACGGAAGACGATACTGCGGCACTCTATGCTTCTGTCGTCAAACCAACAACTTCCGTTGGATATGATGGAAGTAGAGGAAACCCTCTGCGACAGTCCATGTCGGACCAGTTGGAAGATATTATTCAAAGCAGACATGACGGTCAATCTACAGAATTTGACAAAAAATATGATGAAGACGATGATAGAGAAGTGAGAAATATTTCAGAGTATCCTAGAAAATCTTACAGTCTTTCTCAGTCAGAGAGACGTGACATTTCTTCTCGAGGCTTTTCACAAAGCGCTCAGTTGTCAAAATCGACTAGACCATATAGGGACGATCGAGATGATTTCACATTTGATCGAGATTACACGAGAGACCGGCCCGTGACGCCGCCAGTTGATATACCCAGTGAACCAGTAACTCCGAGAGAATCCTTCAACAGACCAGAAAGGTCTTCCGTTTACCCCAAACGCCCCGAAACACCCCCTTTTGATGCTGTTGAGACGCCTCGTGTTTCAACAACAGAGCGACCTCCTACGCCTCCTTTTGACGCTGAAACTGACAGGTCAACAAAGGAGAAAAAGTCACCGCTCTCCCCACCTACAGAATCGAGAGGACCTCCAGATATGAAGGCAGCATTTTCAAACCAGGTTCTTCGTGAATTACAGCAAAGGCAAAGAGGGGCTTCCGTAGACGATGATGATGATGATGACCCGAGTAATTCACGCGCAGTAAACTTCTCAGCAGCGCCACCGGAAATCATCCCGCGATCAGAACCAAATAGTCCACGGACCTCCATGAATATTCCACAAAGCGGAGCACCCCCACCACCCCCTCCTCCCCCACCCCCACCGCCACCCCCTCCAATTCCATAATATAAGATACTTAGTACTTAGAAAAAAGATATCTTCATTCATAAAATTTACTGACGTGGAAGAGTATAGAAAATGATGTGTTGTAGAAGTTTTCAAATGCATGTGCGGATATTCAAGAGACATGAGACATGTATTAGATGTTGCCAAATGAAGAATTTTGAAAGTGCTTAAACTTTGGTCTAGATTATTGCATACAATGTCTTTTAACATTTTGTTTACTTCAATATTATTTTATTGAATATTTTTCTTACAGGTAGGATATGATTCTTTTACATGATGTTGTGTATGAATTATCATAAATTAATTACATTCGTAGTTTAAAACTCAAGTACATACCCGTAATATAAAGCTCGCAGAAATTCTTTTTAAAATTGGTTTATTTGTAATTATTTTTTTTTAATTTAAAGATAAAAATGTTTTTGTATGCCTGCTTCTGAGCAAAAATTGGAATTTTTATTCAGTTTACTAAAACTCAATCAGCATTTTAAAAGAATATTTCTTTAAAAAAAAACTTTTTAATTTGGAATGTGAAAAAACAAATAGATTTTGTAACTACTAGTAATTTTCATTTCTCATTTTGCCCTAATTTTCTTTTTAGGATAATACTTAAATATTATATAGAAATGGTAGAAATCACCCAGTTTGTTAAAAGGTGCTATTCCTATTTTCTTTGAATTTTTGATGATTGTGAAGAGGAAGACACAAATTTAGTTTTGATTTAGAAAGAGTTTCAAACATCATGTTAGAAATTATATATAATAGAATTTTAAAACCATTTATTGTATTAAATGATAGCAGTGTAAATGCGAGATTTGTCCTAGTGCTTCTGATTGGTTAAATGCTTGCTAATCAATTTTTCATAGATACGTCTCTTATAATTAATTCAATTAATATTTCTTTTGTGTTTGAAAACATTTATTCCCTTATGGATTTTTTCCTATTTAATCTTTATTGTTCTTTCTTTTGAACAGAATTTGGGACCCCATTTTCTTTACATTTACATTGTGTATACATATATACTACCCCTAATATAATTCGTGTACTCATAACTTTCCCCAAATGCCTACGGTCAATTTTGACTTCCTCCATTTGTTGCATACATGCTTTGTTTTACTGGAAACACTCTCTATCAAATTTGGAATTATTATAAGATAGTTTGCAAATTTATATGGAATAATTTCTAAATTTGGTAGAAGATAGTATTTTTACCTTGTCAAATGAATTTATCATATTGCGATTTTATTCAATATTATACCATTGTTTAGTATACCAAATATATATTTGTACAACTTGTTTCTGTGATGTAAAACCGAGATATTTTATAAAAAAAATAATATATATATATATTTCTCAGTCTTTATCGGTGTTCGTAAGGGACAAAAAGGATCCATATGAAATTTTGACTTTTAGTGTATAATCGACTTGACTAAACTACATGTATTCACACTGTTGACCATTTCTGTCCATAGTTATCGGCATGGAGTTATTAGCTCTACTGGTCAGAGACCAGAAGAGCTTATGCGATAGTAATGCGTCCGACGTCCGTCCGTCTGTCTCTCCGTCTGTCTGTAAACAATTTTTCAAAATGCTACTCCTCCTACAGTTTTGGTCTAATTTCAATATAACTTGGCACACAAGTAGACTACACTAAGATACATAATTCTGTGTATCGGTTTTTGATTTCGATAAACGGTGTTGCCGTGGTTACTAAAAATAGAAATTTCTGTGAAATTCTTTCGAAATGCTACTCCTCCTACAGTTGTGGTCTGATTTCAATATAACTCGGCACACAAGTAGACTACACTAAGATACATAATTCTGTGTATCGGTTTTTGATTTCCATGAAAGGTGTTGTCGTGGTTACTAAAAATAGAAATTTCATTAAAATGGTTTCAAAATGCTACTCTTCCTACAGTTTTGGTCTGATTTCAATATAATTTGGCACAAAAGTAGACTGCACTAAGATACATAATTAGGTTTATCGGTTTTTGATTTCCATGAACGGTGTTTTCGTGGTTACTAAAAATAGAAATTTCTGTAAAATTGTTTCAAAATGCTACTCCTCCTACAGTTTTGTTCTGATTTCAATATAACTTGGCACACAAGTAGACTACACTAAGATCCATAATTGTGTAGATCGGTTTTTGATTTCCATGAATGGTGTTGCCGTGGTAACTAAAAATAAAAATGTCTATAAATTGTTTCAAAATGCTACTCCTCCTACAGTTTTGGTCTGATTTCAATATAACTTGGCACACAAGTACACTACACTAAGAACATAAAGAGACTTTATCAAGGATCATTATTCTATTTATTGCTGTTGTAAAGTTTCAACTCCCAACTGCTTAAGTAAAGTACTTTTCTCTTCCTTTGCTATAAGTACAAACCAGTAGAGCTTCAGTCTCGACAGAGACTTCTGGTTTTTTATACAGTGGTTAGAAAGTCTGCTCTGAATTTGCGACGTACGGAGTTGATCCTAACGTCCTGGGTTCGAATTCCACTGTTGGACGTGGAGACCGGTCCTGTGGATGAGGCCGTATAACCCAAGATCCCGTGTCGCAGTAGATGCTGGCAAGAAAAAGATACCTCACTCCTCAATTGCCCGAAGTGTCGAGTACAGGCCATTTAAATAAAAGATAAATAATAGAGTTTACTCTTGAGTCGCGAAGTAAGGAGTTGTATGTTCCTTACTTCGTGGGTTCGAATCCCACTGTTGGACGTGGAGACCGGTCCGGATGTCGGATAAGACGTATAAACCGAGGTCCCGTGTCGTAGTAGATGCTGGCACGCAAAAGATTCCTCACTGCTCGATGCTCATAAGTGCCGAGCATAGCACAAAATTTGCAGCTCTCTACAGGCAAGTAGTGATGTCTACATATAATAATAAAATGGCAAGAGGGGCGTTAAACAACATACAAACTTGTCAAAACTCTCGTCCAAAAGCTCCACAATTCTCCAGCGATTTAGCATCATTTTTAGTTTTTGAAGACTTATCTATAATAAAAGTTTTATTGGGTAATTTAATGCATTTGGGCGGAAAAATAATACCAGCTATTTAAATTGAGGTATAGACGTCTTTCTTTTTTTGGGTGACACTTACGTTATGTACAATTTATCCGTAGGTTAAACCCGGTGTTGGAATCAAAACAATCAATCAAAATTCTAAAAATTATTTATTTTATCTAAAAATAGAGGGGCATTTCAACAAAAGTTCTGAGAAATGGTATATTAAATTTTAACTACTTTACGGATTAAAATTACTCTATATACCACTGTAAAGCTTAGGCAAGTATGCTTACGTAGTGACGTTATTTTACATTCAAAATGACGTATAGGTCTGCTAAAATGACGTCATAATTAGGTATACTCTGTATACTGGGCATAAAAATGACTGATAAGGAGAACAATTTTTTTGTTGAGCAAAGAGCGTATTGCAAAATTCGCTCATTGCTTGGCTTTACGGCAACAGACATAAAAGCCGATTTAGAACTAGTATATAGAGAGCATGCTCTTTCACATAGATCGAACAATAGAAAGATGGGTAGTTCGATTTAAAGAGGGTAGAAAATCAATTGAAGATGACCCCCGTTCGGGGCGTCCAGTTTGTGCATATGGCGAAAAAGAAATCGTCGCTGTTCAAAACACAATACCTGATGATGCTAGATATACAGCTGAGGAAGTAGCAAACTTAACTAATATTAATTCGTCAGCAGTTTTTCGTATTTTAAAGGAAGACTTAAAGCTAAGGAAAGTCTGCGCTAGATGGGTGCCGCATTTCTCTCGGAAGAGCAAAAGCGCATCCGGGTAGAAATGGCTTCACAGTTACTAACAATTTATGAACATTGTCACCAAAGGCGAATAAATGAGATTGTAACTGGTGATGAAACATGGATATATTTTTGTGAACCGGAAACTAAGCTCGATAATAAAGTTTGGATCGGTGAAAATGACACAAGGCCTCAAATTGCACGCAGAAACCGTTCTGTCCGGAGAGTAATGTACGCCTTATTTTATGATTCTAAAGGCCCTGTTACTCAAGTTCCGGTTCCAGAACACAGCAGTGTTACTGGTCAATTTTATGCAGAGAATGTCTTGTCTCAGGTTGTAGAGCACTATAAAATGACCCGACCAACAACCGGTACTAGAGGAATAAAGCTCCTCCATGACAATGCACCTGCACATGGATTAGAGGTAGTAACCAATTATTTAAAGGAAAATGGTATTGTCGTTTTACCACATCCACCCTACAGTCCTGACCTAGCGCCATGCGATTTTTGGTTGAATGCCGTTATTAAAGAATCCCTCCCTCTAATTTATGATAATTTACCGCACACCAGTTCTCAGAACTTTTGAAATGCCCCTCGTATATCATGATTTGGATTAAAATGCAATATTAATTAATGTTCAATTTAAATGGCAAAAATTTGCATTCAACAATGTTTTTGAGAAAAAAAAACATCCTGGTTTCTTGCTTCTGTCGGTATTTATCTCAAGCTGAGGAACTTTTTAAATCGATTCTTCAGGTTCATCTTTCCTTTTCTTGCCTACAAGAACACCAGCATCAAAAAATTATCTTGCTAAGTATGATTTTATAATGTATTAGTATATTACTTAATATGTTGTTTAAATTTGTACCTCTTGTGTATGAGATGAAGCGCTGCTATCTATCTCATGTGGTACTTCATTTGTTCCTTTGACATCAGCTTCAGTCTGTTCTGTCATCATTACGTTACCCAGTTGGCTTACTTTCTTTTCCTTCTATTTTCAGTTCACTCTGAAGAAATGAAAATTTAATGGAAAAAAAAAATTATAAAATGGCCCTTAATATTAATATGCCGACAATTAAAATAAATAAATGACAATTATTTCACTTTCAAGTTTTGTTCCTCTTCCTCTGCCATTTAACCTACTACATTTATAGACTATATTTTAGGGAACACTAAATTTACTGATAACAGTGTTGTTGGCTTTCATAAGTAAAAGTAATCTCCCTGGACAGTCATTCAATGATAAGCATTTGTAGTTATTTCAAATGGTTTAAAATTTTATATAAAACACCTTTGAGGGAGTCTTGAATTTGTGACAACATTGAACATGAACAGTCTTCTCGGTACAAAATGTTCTCGTTCTGATTCTTTCTTTGCATGGCGGCTCTGTAAAACACAAGTCTCTTTTTTTTTATACTATTATTTCAAATACATGTATACAAACAATAATGATAAAGTACTCGGTGGAAGTTCTGCCTGCATTCAAGCAGTTTTGTAATTTTATCAACCAACCGAATATTTCAGCAGGTACATGTATTTGGATTTCCCATATGGAACAGGACAGTACGATGGGTGATGTGTGCCAAAAAGTACAATAACTTGAATAAGTAATTGAAACGTTAGAAGATATGTAAAATTTAAGAAAGAAATTCCTTCATTAATAGAATCAAGAAATTTAAATGCAATGAATTATAGGAAATTTAAGAAATCATTACTAGAATCAGGAAATTTAAATGCAATGAATTATAGGTACATTTCTATGAACCAGAAAGTAAACAACAAAATTCAATTTGGAAGCATCCTTCCTCGCCATCACCATTGAAAGAACGTGTAACCAAGTCTGCAGTGAAGGTTATACTCATAATATTGTTTTCTGTGACATCAACGGGATTATTCTGAATCACTTGGCACCACCTTTCTTTCGTTTATTGTACTCTACAGTTTACAATGAAAGCGATAAATAATCACATTTTTATAACGACACATGCTTATCAGTAGTTCTTTATAAATTGTTTTCATAATCTCTTTGATTTTCACTTTTTCTTGAACTCAGAAGTTTTATTGAAGTCCACACCTTATTAAGCAGGTATGTCTGCTAGAAACAATTTAATCACTTATCAAACTTCTTTGTGAACCTTTGAAGACATTTTCGGCGTACCATCTTTACTTGTCTGGAAAGAGATGATCTTTGAATTTTTAACGATATACAGTTTATACACACATGTATATGTATGTGCTGTATACAGGGTTATTTTCGCCCCGTCTTATTTTCGCCTTTCACACTTGCAAACAATTTTACCCCGTTTTTAATTCGCCCAGTCAACGTTTTGTTTAAGAAATACTACTGTATTCTTTGAATTCGCTCCGTTTTAAATTCGCCCAAATGAGGGTAGGGCGAAAGGGGTGAAAATTTCCTTGTATACAATAAATGGATATATATAAAAATACATTAATAGGAGCAATTTTCTTTACTTTTCTTACCAGGAGTTCGTCGTGTATTTGTAACAAAAGATGATGGCGGATTTCTATCTCTTACTTTGT